CAGCATTCATATTCCGATTTGTCAAAAGTTTCAAATGTCGCCAAGATCTCAAGTTATGCCATGTCGTCACTCGTTCCGGTAAAGATGTCGCTACAGTGGAACCACGTCACCCAGTCCACAAGCAAGTTCGCCCCAAGTCCACAAAATCCACCACGAATGTGCCCCCTTTGACTCCAGCAGAACTTGACCAGGCGTTCTCATACTGGATTAAGCACTCTCAACAGCAAGAATTTTCCAAGGAAATTCACTCCCTCGCCAATGAGCTACCTATCAAGAAGAAGAGCAAATTAATTTCTCTGCTGCCCTTTATCGATTCAATAGGATTGCTCAGGGTTGGTGGTCGTCTAAAAAATGCCAAGATTTCTGAAGACCAAAGACATCCCATTCTCCTGTCATCCCATCATCACTTGACACAATTACTCATCAAATCTGAACATTTGAAACATTTTCACGCTGGTCCTCAGCTTCTGATGTCGGTACTTCAGCGGCGTTATTGGATCATCCGCATGAAAGATGCAGTCCGAAGAGAAATTGCAAAATGCTTGACATGTACCAGAACAAAGGCTCAAACTCTACAGCAAGTGATGGCAGACCTCCCTTCATTTCGCGTCAACCCAGCTCGACCCTTCCTGAAATGTGGAGTGGACTACGCTGGACCCTTTTCTGTTCGGCCCATCCAGCCTCGAAGCAAAATAACTCTAAAGGCATATCTGGCAGTATTTGTGTGCTGCACCACCAGAGCAATACACTTGGAAGTAGCTACCAGCCTCTCAACCGACATGTTTATCGCTGCCTTTCGCCGATTCATAAGCAGAAGAGGTCTACCCACGGACATGTACAGCGATAATGGTACAAATTTCATTGGTGCCAATCGCGAGATGAAGGAAATGGTTCAATTGGTAAATTCCTCATCCCATAACCAGCAAGTGGCCGATAACCTATCAAGAGATGGAATCCGATGGCATTGGAACCCTCCTGCCGCCCCCCATTTTGGTGGAAACTGGGAGATTGGTGTCAAATCCTGTAAATTTCACCTAAAGCGAATCATGGGATCGCACCGATTGACTTTCGAAGAACTGACCACTGCAGCGTGCCAAATCGAAGCGATCCTGAACTCCCGTCCGTTGACCCCTGAGTCCAACAATCCAGAAGACCTCGCCGCTCTTACCCCTGGACATTTCCTCATTGGTGCTCCATTAACAGCCGTTCCAGAACCGAACTTGTTGGATCTCAAAATCAATAGCCTTTCCCGATGGCAGTTAATCCAACAAATGATCCAGGCTTTTTGGAAGCGTTGGTCAGCCGAATATCTATCCCGACTCCAACAGCGCCCGAAGTGGATGAGTGGATCTCGAGCGATCGCAGTTGGCGATATTGTCGTCATTAAAGAGGAGAACCTACCCCCATGCGTTTGGAAACTTGGTCGTATCCTCGCCCTGCACCCTGGAAATGACTCATTAGTGCGCGTCGTCACGGTCAAGACGTCTACTGGTGTTTTCAAGCGTCCCATTGTAAGGTTATGTTTGCTCCCAATTGAAAATTCTTCCCAAGATGAAATTCTCTAATTTTTGTAATGTATACAGTTTTGTCAATTTTAATTTTATTGAAGCCGTTGGTTCAAGGCCGGCGGAATGTTGAGGAAGTTTTAAGTATTTGACTCCTGCATTTGTATTTTTAAGATTATGTATGAAAAGGTTGTATAATTCAATTTCCCTATCCTACCCTCTGACGCACATGCATTATTTATTAATTTGACTAATTAATATTAAAGGTAAATGACTAGTTAAGAGTTTGCGGCTTATCATTTTGTTCTGCTCTTCCAGCATAAATGTAATTTACTTACAAGTCTCCATGTTAATCATAACCTTGTCCGGCCATTCACACGAAGCTTATAAATATTGGTTACAATTCTTATCTCGATGTCACTCTGTTGTCCATGGTCTACCAGTTACTTTGTCACTCAAGCTCTTAAGTCGCAAACTGCCCCAAATAAATAATTTAAGTGACATATAACTGCTTTGTCTCAACGTGCCTCATTTCAAGAACGAGAGATTTACATCACACAGCATCATTACCAATCACACAATCAGGGAACTTTGCATTCTCAACAAATATCAAAAAGAATGCAGAACTTAGCACTCGACGACGAGACTGAAAATGTCTCCCAATTTGATGTGCGATGATGAGATGATAACTGACGGATTGGAAGATGGATGAACACTTGGAAGTAATCCAGAACTTATTTGTATGGTTCAAAACTATTGTTTTCACAGAGAATAATTTGAAGCTTCGTTTAAAATCTGGTTCAATTTTAGCTCAATTAGATTGGTAATTTTATAAAAACAAAATCAATACAGAGAACGATTCAGCTTATTTGTAGTCAACCATACTGAAGTGATTACCTGTATAATAATAATAATTGTCCTTGCACACGTGCAAGGATGAGCTTATGGAGATCTTATTGGAATAAATTTTTGGGGTAGCTGAGAAGTGACTTTGTTGACAGAGTTATAAGCACTGACTTTATGTAATATTTGCAACATATCAGCAATGACGACATACTTTTACTTGGCGAATGATAGACATTCATTTGCAAATAATGGGATGCGCCTTTCATCGCTGCATGCACATGTACGTGCTAAGGAGTACAAGACCAATTTGGGCACAGCACCTCGTATTTCTCTCTACGTATATGTAGATATGTTTGTATGTATGTGATTAAAATTTTGAATGAAAATGACTCACGTTTATTTTATGCTCTTGTAATAAGCAACGACTAATCTTTGTCACTTCTTCAATTAATTGGTGATGATTTTTAGCACGGCAACCTCTTGACACTGGCCTTGGCAAGCTCCTTAACTAATGCAAAATTAAATTTTGCCTCCTTGTAAATTGGAATTGATCAAAATAGCAAGTTGGAAATTTTCTAAATATTACTCAAAAAAATTGTCAATCAAAAAATGCACTCGTTTAGAAAAATAATACTTCCAAAAGACCAAGACACAGTGGCTTTATTCTGACAGGCGTGACCTGGATTGGTCTGAAAATGCGGACAGCAAAACACAAACTGACTGATTTTTCATGGACTCGGTGTGAATTTGCTAGTTTTTGCACACACGGTCCTCGTGACTCATTCAGTTTCTCGTCCAAAAACAGCTCGGCCAAATCCCAAAACCTTAACGATAGCAAAGCTAGCCAAAATGTTTATACTGCTTCTAAAGGGCAATGCATAATGTGTGTATGGACTGATTGATTAGCAAAAATATCGGTTAATGTTTACTGAAAGAGGTTGTGATGCATCAGCAGAGGCGGGTATCCATTTTCCACCGGAACTATATGGCCGTGATGACGCGGGTGAGATTATGGGTGTAACTTCCGTCGTTTCTCATCAAATAAATTGAGATCTTCGTATCATACGCGTTTGGCATGATCAAACCAGACGAAAAGTATCGGCTTCATCATAATCATGAATGTAGAAAGCAAAAATAACCATTGTGATCTATAAACACAGCGATAAAAGGAGTATTTTATGCACGCGTACATGTAATGCTTCGTATATGCATACATTCGTGATTGCCGTCAGAAAATCAGATTCGGGTTGCAAAAATTCTACCACCCGACTCGGGACTTAACCCACTTTCAATTCTGCCAGATCAAAATTAATGGCACATTTTGCTTTCACATGTGGTTTTTGGATGATAATAAACACAACACATGGGTTCAAGTTCTGCATCACGATTACTTTTTTCCAAATTTTGTGCCCTGACCATATTTGCATACATGCTGATTTGCATGGGGAATACCTCTGGCAATTTGTGTACACAGTTTAATTTATGAAACTTTATGTCTCAGACAGATTCAGCACACCTTCAAGTCCCAGACACTTTTGTAGCCCTTCTCCAGGCATTTCCAACGATGAGGACGATTAGGAATTTCTGGATTATTTTTCATTTACAATGCGGTTATTCGTGGAGGACTGTTTGTATATACAGCATGACTTTCCGTCTTAAACTAGTGTTATCTAAAACAGTTATCTGTGTGTGGGTTATCGCATTATTATTGCAACATGACCCATTAACCAAATCCATGGACATTCATTCGTGTAACCTGAGAATTGGGAGAATAATAGGATATCTACATGTGTAGTTGCAGCCTTGGTTCGAAACAAGGTGTTCAATGCACCACAGCTAAATATACATATTTAATAAGAGCTTTGATTTTAAGCGAGCTATCAAATTTCCGTTTTTAATTCGCAACCACCACTCGGTTTGAACGAGTCAATCCAATATTTACAATTTCTACGAATCAATGGAAAATTACACTGCCAAACTGTAACGACGCTGTGCATGTATTTACATACAAGGCCTGCCAATGTAGGGTAATAAAACATTGCATAATTGTTTGTCGTGAGCGTGACTGCCTGTAAATGTAAACATTCGGAAATAATAAAGATTTTTATTATTTTCAATCATACATATGTACTCTTCTCAGCGAAATATATTTAAGATTGGTGATACTCGAGCACCGCTTAAGTTATGGAAGAAGCCAAGCTACTTTGGAATTTAAGAGACGTTTCACGGCGACAATATTTTTAGCCACGAAATTGTCAGACTCAGCAGAACATGAAGCATTGCCCTGTTTTTGTATACATTTGCGACTTCCCTGGCACGGAATAGAATCTTATTTATAATAAGTCCGAAATAGAAAAAAGTCAGTCAGTCATTAAACCACTCGCGAAATAACAATAGGAGGAAGAAAAGTGGAGCAGCAAACCGCGTCTGGCTTAATAATACATGCATGTGTAATATGCTCTTCTGTGACAATCTGGTAAATACTTTAGGTGAGACACGTTGGTGAGTGACGACGCATAATTGCACTGCTGCGCTGACATAGTGATCTTCCGGGTTTCCACATATTTCTTGCGGATTCTTCAGGTAAAGAATGCGAATATTTATTGCGAAAATATTTTTAGAAACACGTCAAGTTTTTATCGGTTCTTAATTCCATCTGTCTACAGAAAAGTCTCTTGAAATATTAATATAATAATACAAATGTAGAATTGTAGACACGCAGCTGCAGGTCACATTCCAGTAATGCAATTTATAGTCTATAAGCTAATGCATACGTTTAATACGTCATGCTTACTTATTTTTGTACAATAGCAGAATTTTGTTACATATTTGCAAATATGTTTTCCATTGACAGCAGGCGACAAAATATTTTGCAGGTGCAGAATGGAAATCCTGGCAGGAAATAGCATATCGAGCTCAAAGATCTTCTAATAAAAATTGTCAATAATAACGCTTGGCAGGTCGACGTGAATTATATGGATTGGAAATACGATTTGATACTGGTAGGAACTAGGAATGAGCATATTTGCAAATTTTTGCAATTGAACTTGTCCTCTACTGAAACAGCCCTGTATAGAAATCTATCCATCTATATGCCATATACATGGGTGGTGATTATGATTATTCACGTCCATGCAGAAATCTGTATACCACAAGCACGTCAGAGACGGAATATGTATGTTAAGTTAATAGCGTACTATTTGGCACACCCGTCAGAATAAATGAGGGCCTGGTAGAATAATGTTCCATTAAACTACGTTGTGATAGCTGCAAAATTATTACCTTCTAATTATTTTATTGTCTTTGTAAAGCAAAATGATACACAACTGCATGGGGTAGTTACGTCAGGTGTGTGGGTTACAGGGTTCCAGGTAAAAATGAGATATAAATGTCGTAGAAAAGGATAATTATTCGTAGAGCAACAACACGCGCTGAACAACATTTCAATATATTTTTTGTTACTTTTGACCCGCAGAGACCTTAGAATTTGGAATTGGAGAACACGAGTTTGGCAGGAAATCATGGGGCTGGATCCTCACTTCTCCAAAACAAAATCCAAATCGTCAATCTCAACAATTGGGAAGACTGACGTATTTTGGGACAACGTTAACCAGAATCAGAATCAAGAATGTGAAGAAAAACCGTCCATTCTGGAGTTTAATATTTTCATTTCAAACTCTGGAGATCTGATTTCTTCCAGAGATCTCGATCCTTGCATTCATTCTTTCCGACGACGACGAACAAATTCCGTGTATGAGATTCCCGTGCAGAACTCTTTACTGGCAGCGAAGGAAATATACGAGGAATGTTTGGAGCTATCTCTCAACAAAATCTCAAAGAAATCCGTGAGATTCAGCGAGGACACAAATTTTATAGAACGCAACATGAACCGTCCTTTTTGGAAAGAGCTGGCCGAGAGAAAAATCAGACGGAAAATATTGAGAGAACAACGTCGACGGAGACAGCAACAACGATCCATGACCTTTTTCGACATGCTGAGACTTTTGTTTGCTTCAAAGAAACACAACTCAGCCAATCCCGCAAACGGACAGAATCTCGGTGGCGAAATGACCCAATCTCATCTTCTTCAAACTCTGCAGCATTCTGCTGAAGATCTAAATTCCAGTTCGTTTTCTGAGACGCCCATTTTCATCAACGAAGTGGACACTAAAAAACCCACGGAATTAGAAACGAGAAAAAATTCCAAAGTGCACAAAATGCTCCGATCGATGCAAATGTGGTGGAGAGCCGACAGTAACGACTTACCCATTCAACAAATGCAGATTAATTAATAGTTCACTTGGACAAAGACTGAGACCTCGTAAATTATTGTGATTCTCTTGATGACTAATTTTACAGTTTAAATAAAAAAAAAACGTTTATATAACGAATTACTCCATTAATTTGGATTACAAATTTATATTTGAAAAATTAATTGTGTTTGATAATAATAATAAATATACAGGCAGCACACATTGTTGTTAGATAAAATTCATTTCGTTATTGTTTAATACTTTTGAATAGATTATTTATATCGAAATTAATTATATTCTAAAAGCCCTTAAAAAAGACTGAAAAATATCGTACAACTTTTTAATTAAATTGGAAAGCAAAACAACGTCCTTTGTATAATTAAAAGAATTCCAGCACACTGACAGATCAGAAATCGACTGCTCTATTTTGTATGTATTGCAACTTCCTGAGACTAAATGATTCTTAAATGCCAACATTATTAGTATCTGCTCCCTAAAACCATTGCTACTTTATTTATGGAAGATTGGGAGCATTTGTATCCGAAGTGCTTTGTCTCCACTCCTTGAAGAGGAAAAAAGCTCCTACTCCATAGGCAATGGTGTTGAACAGTCCAAAACACTAAATTATAAAATAAATATAGTAAATTAAAAACGAAAATAAATAAAGTAAGGAAATGAAATGAGTATGAAAAAATGTTATTACAGCCGCAGCAGTTCCGCTGTGATCATAACCCGAAGAAATGGCAAATTGGACAATCATGGCGATGAAGTAAAACACCGTTGCCCCCACAGTGTAGTAAAACTCCTGCAAAAAAGATCATGTGACAGTTGGAGATCATTTAAAGCACCAAAAATAGTAAAAGTAGTGTGTTTAACGGTCTTTTTCTTGCTTACCAGCACGAGCCATGGGATTTTGAGTGTCAGAGCTTCTCGTATACAGAGAAAATAAATGCAGATCCAGAAGGCAGTCACCAAAAATGTGGTCACAACGACAAATAGGAAGAAATGTGTTCCACCCCAATGAGCTGGAGCAGCCAAACTCATGCAAAATATTGCGAAAATCTGAAAATGTGATAAAATATTTGTAGAAATATTATTGCGAAAGAAGAAAGTGGATGGGAATTTAATAAATGTATGTACATCGTATGTGATTTAAGAGACATGTGACCAATACTTTGACGATGCGTTAATTGGGGACATAAACCTACTTATTTTGGGAGTTTAGTACGCGTAATAAAATTTTATTATTTCCGTAACAAATATTCCGTATGGGTGAGAGTTTTTTTCGCCTCCATGTGTACACACGTTGCATAAGAAGTTATGAATATGAAACTTTTAGAATCTTACAAAATACGCAGGGAGGAAACGCTACTCGTACGTATTTAGGCATGCATCTTAATTGTTTGAAGACTTGTTATCTGTTGACAGAAACCAGTCCTTGCCATTTGTGCTCTGGAAGGGTGAGGTTAGTTGAGGTGAAGCCTTACAAAAGTTATTCGTCGTCATTTCCACAGCCTGGAATCACTTAGTTCTATACTAATTACCACCATGTTGAATACGTATTATATGAAAGCACTTATTTTGTACACAAATGTTAATGGGTGTGTTGCTTCCTGTCACTTGTCATATTTGGTTTGGTTCCACCTGATGCGTTTCCTATTACTCACATCATTCAGAAAAAAAGTGAGGTTAACTGACATCAACATTGAAACGCTGTGTTCTCTTTCTGGGTTTGAACTTGAAATACGAAGGTTTCGACATCCGATAACATGGAGCAAAGTGAATACGACAGAATGGTTGGATCAAAATCATTGTCATCCTTCATTGCTCTTCCCTAACCACGACTCAATATTTACATAATATGTATGCATTGTGTAATGAAATGTTTTGACGTAAATTTTGGGAATTATGAAGGCAATTGCTTGAAACAAAAGTAGCAAATAAGTGTGTAAGACAAGTCGTAAGCAGAGTCCTTCGCCAGAATAGAAAGGAATGCAAGGGAAAGTTGTGCCTATGTAATTTTAATGGTCAAGCCCTCAAACCGAAGTATGTATGTAAGTCCAAGCGTAAATATGCATATGTATGCATTGACAGCGATGCAGTCTGAATGGCAAGCACAATTTCTGCTTAGGTGTTCCGGTGATGAATTTAATGCAGGGCATTGATTTATTTAATACAGAGTAATTTTCGTCATGTATCATCAATCAACCCACCGAGTACAAGATAGCAAACAATGTGCAACTTAACAGACAATATGACATCGCCAACTATTGCAAGTGCACATAAGCCACGTATTCAATCCATCTTATGCAAGGAAATCGTGTCTTCGAAATCATATCTACAAAAAAGTTGTCACTGCAAGAGACAGGAAAGAAGAATCGGAGTTGATCACGGATCTTGAAGCTGAATGAGTTGAAATTTGAATTAATGAACTGTTGGATTGGTCTAAACTTGTGAAATATAGTAAATCGGCGTCTACTAATTGCGATGTCACATTTATCGGATCTCATCCCACGGGACGATATACATACATGAAACACCATCTGTAAACTTACAAATTGCACAATTTTCAGAATTCCAGGAATAGATTTGAAATAATCAAAGTCAAATTTGATCCAGTCCAACGTGACGGCCGGAGAGGTTGACGTGGTCGTAGTGTGATGCATTTGTGGATTGTTCTGCTGTGGTCTGACCGGCTCCATGGGTCTGGTCCCTTGGGCGTTTTCCGCCTTCATCATCTTTCCCAGTCACAACCCCACCTTCGGTTCACGCCACCAAAAACTTTACAAACTTCCACACACAAAACTGTCCTCAGACCTTTGAGGAAGGCGTTGGTCGAAAAGTTATTTGCACTTTGGTTACCACATGCTCAATCATGTCAGGCCATGAGCCTATTGGGCAACAATGAGAAGGATCCGACCGTACTGGTCTAGTTCAGTAGTGACACTAACGAAGAGACTGTTTTGAATGCCTGATGGTTATGTTGTGAAGAGTTCGTCCAAGTGTTACAGCATTTTAACACCACCGAACATACATCTACTGCGAGAAGACGTTGGGACGTGGGTGTCTCAGATTTAGAGGAATCATGCAAATATCTATTCGTTCACTTCACTTTTTACTATCCATCAATCCAAATACAGTCGACGTATTCAATTCACAAGTTGTACCTCCCAGACCTCTTCAGCTTTGGTATGTTCTCCTAAAAAGGTTAAAAGCACAGACAAATTTCACTCAGGCGTACTTAATTTTAGCCAGAAAAAGCTAATAAAATTGAATGAATTTGGCCAATCACGATCATGAATAGAAAAATTATTCGGTGATTGTAAACCCGGAATCGTTTCCACATTCACAACGGCACCAGGCAAAACAATCGTATTTATCAGAGTAGGAAAAATCTAGCAATTTAGTTACGTAATGTTTTCCTTGCCCCATGCAAAAGATGACACTCAACCTTGCAGAATAATACATGGGCGATTACGACGCTGCACGTAAAAGCAGTGCAACGTTTAATTGGACGCCATGAGAAAAATGAAATCGCCTACACAAACCAATCCACCAAATCTGATACAACAGTCAGTAGGTTCTCCTTTATATGGTTTCATAGAACAAAACAAAGCGAAAACCGTGCAACCACGCGATAGATATTTCTACAGCATCCTCCTCCAGGTACTCTGATGTAATAGTAATTGTACAACTACTTAACCTTATAATTCAGCTAATTCCAAAGAAAATGAGGGGTTTCTGGAGTCAAAAGTGAGTCAGATATCAATTCTTGACTCATTTCTCCAACTGAACAGAAACAGATGAGAAGGAAGCAAGTAGAAAACTGACAAATAGCAAAAAAAATTATTCACTCTCTGGTTGGATCGAGTTTCGAAAGATGTTTTCTGCTCTCCTCACTTAAGTAATGCAGCACGGGTGGTGTGTGTGTGCAGATAGATGGATAATAATGAACGGGAAGACGAGTTATGCGAGAATGCAATAACAATAATAATACGAACCAAAAGCTCTTTAAGCTTTTAAATCTCCGTTGCAAAGGGTGAATGCAGTTGTGCCAAAGCTGCTATTAAATGTAAGCAGCCTACGGATTTATTTACCCGTTCGCTGACTTGAGGAAGACGCCTTGAGGGTTATCTCCTACTATCGGCACTGCTCCCCTCACTTCGTCGTGTCAGGCCAACCGACTTACCAAGATCCACACCGAGATTGGCCTCCCTCCATTATGGTCCACTCGACGTTTGCACCGCTTTCATATTTTTTTTATGCCGACTGATTTATTCCCTTCGATATCAGAATATTCTATTTTTGGCGTGAGACAGTTCAGTTGCGACCAACAGCAGCAGGGGATGAATTCATGTTTTCATGCTTGAAACGGTGGGTATGCAAAATATGTCTGCTTAAATCTTTTAGATGCACGCGTAACTTGCATAAGTTTAAACGGTAACATGTTTTAATTGTTTTTTTAACTACCTATTAAAATGGTTGAAAATGTCCTCGTAGGAATTATTTACTAGCGAACAGGTATTGTGCGCTGTTATGCCTATTATCTTTGTGGTGGTTAGTGAAAACTAAGCTTGGGCGAGACGGAAGTTATCCCTGGTGTTAGCACTATCACGATAATTTGGCTTCAAGGGAAAGTTCCTCTGTAGTATTCACTTGCAATATTTGCTTATCTGGATGTATCGTAAGATGAACTTTGACAAGGACGTGAAACCCAAAAACACTAATAATTTGTCACCCTTCTCATTACAACCAACCACGGGAGACAAATTGGTTTGTAACTTTTCTAAAAATAAAACTCGTGTCAAATGTCAGCAAATGTTGATTAAAGAGAGATGATGATCATTATAAGCAACGGTTTTTTTTAAATATCTACATCGTGGCTTGACTGGGGAGAAGGATTACTAATTTATGTTGGTTAATATTGTTAGTCATTAAAATTAGCTGCCGTTGCCGTCGGACCATTGTGTGAGTGAGTTACGTATTTCATCTGGGATAGTAGCAGCATTAAAATTACGAATTTCGTATGCAAATAAAACACTCTCACCAGCAACTCCTTACTTTGATGCATCTGCTTCATTATGCAGGAAGAGGATGGATTCTCGTTGGTTGCAGTGAGAAAAACACACATGTACAACCTCAAGTTTGTTAATATGGTTTAGAAATGAAGAATAAATTACTTTTGGTTTCCCTTTTGTACTCCTCTTCGTCAGGTTGGCATAATATTCGTGAATTTATTTGCACGTGTTGTAGAATCATTTACAGTCAATCCGTCTTTTGTTTTGCCTGGCATAACTGCATATTTTCCACATTTTGTGAGGTATCTATGTGCATGGCTACATGATGCGTGATTATGACGGAACAATCTGTTTCATGAAAAGCTGCACACATTGTGATGTTCTACCATCATCATCGTTGTAAAAGCTGTCTTTGCAACTTCCTTCCTATGTGCATATCTGTCATGAGCAGTTGTGTTTCATTTTAGGAGCGTGAGCAGCCAACCACAAATTTCCATTGTCGAATATGTCGGTGATTGCTGCGTATCTTATCGGGTGGCTCATCTGTAATTGGGCTGGGAGTTGCTTTACAGGGTATTTTTTCGGAAGGAACGAGATGACAAGACATAAGCGATTCGTATTGAAAAATATTATCCATCCATTGCAATCCACTCGACCCTATTTTCCCTGTTGCGCAAAAGTTTGAGATCCATAATAAATTGGAATAATTGTGATCTCATTTTAAACGGATTTTTCAAAATGCGTATTCTTCTGGCTGCGACAAGCTGACAACAAGACTCCCAGCCTCTGGCAGTCTTATTGTTAGCATTATTGATACTGCTAACAGTTACTGCTTAGTAAATACGACATGTGTCAGAATTTCATTGAGAATGAGAATGAACAGATGGAGGATTGACGAGAAGGAGGATTGACGAGAAGGAGGACCGTAATGAATTTTATTTTAATAATTTCGAAGCTTGGCAAAATGCTGAAATACTTATTTTATTATAAGCAGTATCACTGCAAATAGACGTCTGTTATGCACTTATCAGTATTCATAAACATAAATTCATATACATAATCTATGAGATTCACATGAAATAAAATAAATACTTGGTATATAGTTTTGCGTAGAGTTGTGTGTTCTTAAGTTCCTTTGTTTGGAGTAAACCAAATTGATTACTTCTGGAGTATTTTTTGGCTATAGATCAGTATCTCTGTATAACAATTATTCTCAAAATAAGTAAAACTATTGGACATTGGTATAAGTCACATTTGAGTAAACATTTGAAAGATTTAGCGTGCAAGTCAGTATGCACTTTAAGTTCTCAAGATAATTTTAGCAATTTGAACAATTTGTAGCAGTGTGGTGGACCAAAGCATAAATATTATTATTTCATAAATAGGCAGGCACTCACATGCAGACCAACAAGTAATTCATGGAATCGCAGTATCGTCCCAGATTTGGAGACCATATGGAGTTTGGTTTTCTAATCATTACGGTTGACGTGCGGGTTGGATTCGAAGAACATAAAATCCTGGTTGAAAATCAAAAAGATTCAATTAAAGCATGTCCACTACATGATTGATTGATTGATTTATTACAATGAGGCACCCCATTGCATGGGACTTTACACCTCAAGGATAAAAGAAAGTCATACATTATACAATTTTCATTTTGCTTGTACATACATATAAAACAATGATGATTACATCATAGAAAAACAATCTTGATATTCAAACGAGTCGAATAATTGGAATTCGAATAATTCCATAACTCTTTTTGTATTCTGGACATTTAAAAAGTACTTCTTCACCTCTTTTTTGAACCTAGTTAGACTCATCTTTTCATGCTCATTTCTTAAATTTAATGGTAGATTAGACCAAGACAGTGCTGCCCTATATTTGAAGGACTTACACTGATTGAGCACATACAGAAAAATTCTTACGATTAAGAACACGGCAGCCAGCATCATGGCTTTTGCTCGAACTTCCATATCTCTTGGAAAGTTGACCCCGAAGGTGTCCGAGTCTGTGAGTTGTTCTTGAAAAAATCCTGACCACTTTTTCGTTATGGCTCCAATATCTTGACCATCCGACGTTCGCACTTTAAACTGGACGTCACATCCGCATTGTCCAGTACAGCAACAAGCACAACAGCAATCTCCACAACTTGGTCCAGTGATCTCTGCAACTCTGTTTCCAGCATCGTCCTCAACAGCCAAAAGTGGAGACCAAAAGTTGTATTTTTGAATGATCCTTCCCAAATAGCTGCCATCCGCAAGACTAACTTTCACTTCCTGCAACAAAGGAACGCTAGATACATATTTTATGCAGAAGTGATCAAGTTAGATAAGACGCCAAAATTATCACCGATCCGGTTGTTCCAAAACAATTACAGGTACTCAAGCAACAAAACAGGCAACTCCAGCTTCGCTCAATATTAAGAATTGTACGACCCGAGAAATCATTCACACAGATCGAAAAGCTTCGAGTTGGACCGGAAACCGCACACTGAAATTGAAACCGCGTTGCAACTGAATATAATTTCATACATTTGGAGAGCTGTTTGAAGACCGACCTGCATACTGAGCAGTCCGCCAGTCTCCGCAGCAAAATAAATACGGTTTCCAGCCGTATTCATAATGTCGTACCGATTGGGAGTTTCCAACGGAATTCCAACTTGTTCCAGTAATGCTACAACAAACAAGCAACTATTACATCCACCGTCATTATTAGTGCAAAATAATTTCGGGAACATTATGTTGAGCTGGATTACTTTCCATAATTTCCGTTTGCTGTTTAACAAGCAAATGTTCAGTTTCCAAGAGGAGTTCAAGTCCCATTGGGCAGCCATCCACAGGACCAACTGAAAAGTCAAATACCAGGTGGATTTTCTAACATGGGTCAATCATCTGGGGTGTGAATTTCGTATCTTACATGGCATGACTGGTGGGGACTTGTATCCTGTTATCATATTCCCGGTGGAATGCATGGAATTCATTGGGTTTACGTCCACAACGTCATTAAGGACGCCCATGACCTTCCCCATTATCCCACCTCCTTGTTGTTGCTGCTGTCCCATCATGGGTTGCTGAGGGCCATATGGCATTTGTTGGGGGTACATTTGCCCTGGTTGTTGTGGGGGATAATTGTTGTAAGGGCCGGGCTGCTGTGGTTGAGGGTACATCATGGGTTGCCCTGGTGGAGGGTACATTATGGGCTGTCCGGGTGGAGGGTATCCTTGCTGTGGGGGATATTGATGCATAGGAAACTGTTGTGGGGGGTATGGCTGACCTGGTGCCGTGGGGAAATTGGGATTAAAACCAGGTTGCTGAACAATTGGGGGGTTCTCTTGTCCAGGCCACATGTTTGCACGAGCTATGTGCTACTTCTTAACACCAAATAAGCTACAGTATATACTAGTATGTTTTTTTTAGTATATATCTCAGCTCACAAGTTCTTATGCTGAGATATGGCAGTGTACAGCGAAACAAGATAGATAACAAACTGCAATGTCCAAATGCATATAAAGTTTTGGGCTTTGGGCACTTTAAATAGAAGTGATATTTATTATGCTGCTGGAGGATAGAATTTTTTGCACTCCTCTTCTCTCCTCGTGCAATACTGGACACTGGTAAGAATGAAGTGTAGTGTAGCTCAATACGTAAATTGGTACTTTATAAACTTTTTGTTGGACTAATCACAGTAATCACTTTGCCGTGTGGCGCTATCGGACGTTCTTCGTCTAGTTGACGACACTATGTTTATAACCACAGCTCATTCTTTTGTTCAGTTGTGTACAAACAAGGTCGGCCAGTCGGCCCTAATCCCCGCTTTCTAGCCTATGATCAAACCCGAACATGAATAAGTTCTCCGAGTTTCGCTCAGATTCGGGTTTTAGAAAGCAAACCAGGGACAACGGCATATGCTTCGGGAACATGATACAAATTTGTGAGGAATTGTGTCGTGCATGACCATCAAAATTTTGCATGCAATGCGAATGCGATAGGTACCTTTATCACGCGCGATACTCGTGATGACAATAGTACCTACGTATCTAGAAGAGGGATTATGTGCATAAAAAGGGAAATACATTTGGGGATATTTATTTAAGTAGTTCTTTTGTCCTTAATTCATACAGAATTAAAATTCATCCGCCACATCCATTCATTCACACTAACTCTACATAACTCTATATAATACATAGTAAAAAATAAAAGCAAATGCATATTTGTCTCACTTTAACTTTTGGCATGAGAAGATGTGGCGAGATCTCCTGTTGCCCCAGCTGCGAGGTGGGAATGTATTATGCTTTCTCTGCCTCTCTTTTCGCTTCAAGGTCCTCAAAATCAAAAGATTTCCAGAAATTTACGACGCCAATTTAATTTGATTTATTTACGAGTTATGTGACATGTTTAATTAGAGCATACTCTTCCACGGGACTGGTATTCGCGGACACATTGAGCATTACTATTAGTAATTCAATATTGAATATTGAGTGAAAGTGAAACTTGCAAATTCAACAATTGTTTTTGACATAATCGAGTAGGTGGATAGAGGGACTAATGAATTGTATATACTGTGTTATATGTAAACATTGATCATGGATAAGGAAACCCCGATTACCAAGTATTTGGCGACATTGGGTATGTTTGTTTATACATTTACATCATAAACACGTTGTAGAAGAAGTGTAGTATTTAAAATTGATGTATAATTTTTAGAGCGTCGTCAGGCCCAACGAGAGCGAGATTTAATGTTCGGCTCCCCATCATCGGGAGGATCCCCAGATTCTCCACTAAGTACGGTAAACATTCGACAACAACTTCGCTTCGACGATGAAACTTTCCTTCAGCCGCACGACCAGACCGTCCTCCCATTTTCATCTCCTCCTCCACCACCACCTTCCAGAGACCATCATCGACATTTACTTCCCATCACAACTAACACAAGGCCCACCTCATCGGGGTTTTCCCTCGCAAATATTAGGAACGACAATATAACTTCTTCCTCCTCTTCCTCCACAACGAAAAGGAAGAGGTACTCGTTTGAAGATAAGGAAGAGGATGAAGATTACATTAAAAAAATTTGTAAGAATTTTTTCCACAGATTAATTACCACACATTAGACTATCAAAACTTACAAATTTTACATAGGTGAGCTTCAAAAGCTTCTTCGACAGACGAACGGAGAATTGGTGGAGGCAAGAGCAACGACGGCCAAATTGGAGCACCAGAAAATGGACTTGCGGACAGAGAGTTATGAGAAACAACTTAACTATGAAAGATCCATGAGCGAAAACAGAATTAAATGTCGCGACGCTGTAGAAAAAGTAAACATAATGCACATCCTTACCCACGCATAAAAATTATGAGATGACAATTTTTGTACGCAGTGTGAAAATCAAGTACAATCAATATTTTTGCTATTTGATTTTTTAGGCAGAGATGTTACAAAAAGACAACGATTTAAAAACAAAGAAAGTGGATGAATTAATAGGCGAGTTGCGGCGACAATCTGCACAGCACACGGAAAAAATATTGGCCATGGAAAGCAAAGTTTCACAACTGAGTTGCGAAAATATTGAACTGAGGCGACAACACGACGAGGTACGTGTTTTTGTTTGTCTTAATATGTCAATATATTAACTATCCTGTTCATTTAACGATACAAACATTGCAATATCAGGAGAAAATGAATCAGTCTGATTCAATGAGAAAAATGACGATTACCCTTCAAGAGTCTGAGCAAGGTTCGGAAAAATGGACCATGGAATGTCAGATATTGAAAGATCAACTTGCATTAAAAGAAACTCAGTTGGCCAAGTATATGGAAGAAATCAAAGAGTCACAAAGTAAAATCTTCAAATGTAACGAACGAACTGAAAAGCTAAGCGAACTAGATTCTACAGATGCCAAACTGCATTCTCTGCAAGAAGATGTTAAGAAATATGAAAATCTTTTCGTTAAAGAGCAGTGCGACAATGTGAAAATGTCCAAATTATTAGCCAAATTAACTGAAGAAAATGGATACTTGAAAGGGTCCATGAACAAAGAAATGCTTCTGGAAGAACAAGTGTCTTCTCTGGAGACGGAAGTACGATATCTGCGGAACGTGGCAAAGTCCAAAGCAGAAATTGAAGTGGAAAGGGACAGCATGAAAGAAAAACTCAAACAATGGCTTGCAGTCGCCATTGGAATGGATTCTCAGTTGACGAGCCCACACAGCTTTACTGTCTTTCTAAGCCAAATGCAGACCCAATTGGTTCAAATGCGGCACGAAAACACAACGTTAAGTTGCAGGTTAGCTGTAAAATTTTATTTGCCTATATATTTATTTTTCTGTAGATATTTAAAATATACATTAGAAACCGGCAGTGTTCCCCTTCACTTTCTATAGAGTAGAAGTGGAGGTTTATGCAACCGAATATGAACAAAGTTATTTCACTCTGCGTTTTGAGAAGAAAAACGTTAGATTTTGCAAACTTTTACAATAATTTACTACTAATATTTTGTGTAATAACAATATATACATATGTAGTACGCATTGTTATTATGAAATTATTACGCATTGTTATTGTTATTACTCATTGTTCTTATGAAATTTATTTATCCAGGATTGATAACCTAAATCGAGACATCAGTCGTCTGCAGTCTGATACCAATAATGCAAGGCGAAGTGAAAATGAAATGAAGAACGAATGTGCAAAACTTGGTTCTGAAGTTAAGCAACTTACTCGTAAGCTCACACTGGTGACCAAGGTTAGTTTGCAAATTAATTAATTTCCGGATTATTGATTTTTACGTTCGTATGTGTATCTATCTTGATTTTTACAATTTTATTTTACTAGGACCGTGATGGGTTAAAATCACTTAAAGAATCATATGAGCAAGAGCTAGAAGGAATTATCTCCACTGCTTTAAAGGAACGTGTTCACCAATTAGAAAACCTAGTTGTTGAATATGAACAAGTCATCAATGAAGATCCGGCCACCGCCAAGACAAAATGTTTCGAGTGTGACAAGCGGATTGCGTTAATTTCAGAGCTTCGATCAGAGTAAGATAACTTTTGGATAAACAAATATCAGTGTTACAACAGTTTTTGATAAACATTTTACAATTTGGATTAGATTGGAAAAGGGAAAAGCTTACTCCCACGATGCTTCTAGCTTTGGTAACACGACTTTCGGTGGGGACGGAAATACGACCGGAATAAAAATAGTTGCATTTGGAAATAACCCTTCTGCTTTGTCCATGGAAGCCAGGTTAGTTTAGATGCATGTTATCTAACTAAAATTAAGAAAAGTCGATAGATTACGTGAGTTTTGTTTTGTTATTTAAACGTATCAAGACAAAGTTAAGCCGTACATCTATATACATTACATAATATAATTTATATATACGTATTTAATTCCTCCAGGGTGCAAGAGCTTTGCAGTGAAAATGACAAACTCAAAACCAGAATAATGCAGTTAGAAAACCAGTCGATGATTGGTCACAATGATACTGTCGTTGCACAAGGGAACAAAAGTAATGCTTGTTTTGTACTGAAAAATATCTTGCGTATGTCTTATGAAATAACAAATTTTGATCCTGTATGATTAGTTATGGAAGAGCAAATTCGAACGTTGGAGAGAAAAAACCAAATTCTATCAGAAGCTTATGACTATGAAACACAACAGCTTCAGACAGCACTTAGCAAATTGTTCGGATTCCACGTTATCCTTGTTCGTGAACCGCAATCACAGTTTAGATTGCAAAGTGTTTATGGCACGGGTCAAGAGGACGAATTAGTATTTCAAGTAAGAAGTTCATTTTAAAAAGCATTTAATAATAATATAACGAGCAGGAGTAAATGACTTCTATTTATTTATTATATAAAAGGAAGCAGAAAATAGCGACATGATGTTGTTAGAAACCCCTGTTCTGGACCATTTTAGAGACGATATTGACCGTTTTCTACTTCGAGAAGGTTCCATCCCTGCCTTCCTTGCGACAGTCACAATTGCATTTTCTCAAGGACAACTTCAGCCATCCGATGCTAGTCAACTCCCAGGTAGCCAGCAAAGCAGTGCTGCTGATTCAGGTGAAACACTCACCATTAATCCGAATCAACCTCATCATGGTGGGAAAATTGTGGAAGTGCAAGTAGATGGACAAAGTGACCAAGAAAGTGAAGTGGCTGATGATGATGATGACGACGACGGAGAGGAGGTCGACGAAGAAGAGGAAGTGGGTCATGAAGAGGATGACGATGAGAGCGAGTATGAAAATGTCGACGATGATGAGGATGACGACGAGGACGAAAGACCCGATGACGATTTTGAGAATGATGGAGAAGAGGACAGCGACAACGACATTGTATGCATTGAAAGCGATTAGTTGATTTGTAATAAATCAAAATCATGCTCATTTGTTAAAACCCATTTTATGTAAATTATTTTTGCACCCGTGTAATATACGAGTATTTATCTTGCCTTTTCGTGTCAAATTATAAATATACATAAATAAATTAAACAAAATGAAATTAAAATACTTGAATTAATTAGGGAATCAATGTCGTCGTTTATTCAGAGTTTTAAACTTGAGAACTGATACAAATTACATATGTTATTTGAGTACAACTTTGTGAAATTAAAGCTGGTGTTTTATAACTATTTTATTATGCAATAATCAAAAACACATCATTTGCACCATTCGCTCATTCATCTATCTGTCGGTCATGAAAGTCAGAAAAAGTGTCGTCATAAAATGGCAAAAGTGTCCATCTGAGCATTTTCTTTAATTAAATCTTAAACTACACTACGACCCCTCATAATTATTTGTGTTGTCGCTAAATAGTAAAAAAGACGGTGTATGGAAGAGCATTTAGAATTGGCTGATCAACGTCCTAGTTTGTTGAGCAACGGCCCTGGTTTTGCAAGCACCCTGAAACAAAAGACATAAAAATATAAGTAATTGATGACTATTAAAATGAAATTATTATTTTTTTCAAATTTTGAGCTATTAAATAATATCTGAATTATTATTATTATTTACATTCGGGTTGCAGACGGTCAGCGTTGATGTTTCGCTTGACCATTCTTTCCCGGTGGTGGATAAGACGGTCGGCGGCGTCTCGCCAAGATGAGAACGGGTTTGCCCAGAGCCTCTCTGCCAGTGCAGCACCTCGAGGCCACACCTTGGCCTCCAGACCCATCTCGTCCACTTGTTCTATACGACCAGGAAAACAAAACTTTAGGTTTTGTTTTTGGACAAAACTTTTGGTTTTGGACGAAATTGAGCTGTTTTTATAATATTTTCAGCGTCATTTCATTACCTGTCCAGAGAGATGCTTCACCTCCAATTATTTGGCCTGGTTGTAGGTCAATTTCTTCCTGTAGATTCAATTTTTTATTAGCAAAGGCAGGCTATTTATGACTCTCAGTTACAACCGAAAACTTCAAGGACCCTTGCGGTCATATGTAGGCAAATTTTTTGATTCATATGATGAAATAGAAAAAGAAAACTTTTGGAAATTATTAACAATGTTGAGTACTTCTTAAACAAAAACAGAAAAAATGCCCTTCTGATGAGTAACATATATTTCTTTTCGAGTTATTCATGCAAACCTCAGAAATTAAAATAAAGATAAAAGTAACAAACCGTCGTGTTTAATTGAGCGATAACTCGGAGTGGGTTGTTGTCGTAGACGCGTTGCCAAGTTTTGTATCCTCCACAGGAGCCTCGCCCTTCGCCCATCTGTACATAATAGAAAATAGAAAATGTCAAAAAATACACCAAGAAAAGGAGTGTTCAAAACTAAATAAAGCTTACCCAATCGCCAAAACCACAATCAAACTGCCAAGCATCCCTATTAGAGAAGACGATTCTGTAGCCTTTGTCCAACATGGCGGCCTGAAATTTATCATTTTTTAAATAATGAGGCGTCACTTCGTCAAGCAATGGTTAAAACTACTTACCAGAGAACGGTCACGACCACTATTTCTGAATTGAATAATGTATCGCTCAGGATCGAGAATGTTTTCAATATTCTCTTGGACCATTAAGTTGGACGCCCAGACGATTGGCGTCAACTCTGTGCCACGAGCAGCTCTGACCAGCTCAACATAAGCTCGCCTCTGGAACGTTGCCCACAACTGGAGGAATTCTCGCTCGGTTCGGTTTCTTCGTTGAGCGGATAAAAAGTCGGTGATTTCCTTACTGGAGTTCCAGCAGTTGAAGTTGACATCGTCACCTCCCATGTCTGCACATAGGCAAAATAAGAGACGAAAAATTATAATTTATTTATTAAATTATGATAAGTTTGAGGTTGAAAAAACTCACGGAAAGCGTCGGTATCAAAAACCCCGAGGAGATCTCGGTATAATTTTCCAAGAACGAGATAGGTCTGTTCATTCACTGGAAGAATAAAAAATTACCATATGATCAGACTCGCTATTAAATTGATTACTCATTCGAAAACAATGTGTGACAGTAACAAACCTGGGTTAAGTTGTCCGCAGGGTGGTTCCGAGCAGAACTGGTTCCATGGTTCAGCGTTGACACAAACGGCCATTGGACCTCCGCTGGTCACCGAAACGGGGGCTGGTTGGATCGTATTTGGACCTGCAATCCACGCACGCATGAAGTAATTGCTAATTATGATTTATATGACTAATTACCTGGTTGTACTGCATTGCTTCTCTCCAAACCTTGCCATCCTCCACTGATATGTGATGGAGCATCCAGTTCTGGGATGACGCGAACTCCCCTATCATGAAAACGGGCAAAGTTGTTACCACTCGTAATTTTATGGAGATTTTGACAATAAAATAGTATTTAATAACTCACCTAACACGGGAATATTCTACAAAGTCCTTGATATCCTCTGGGAAGTAGATCTTTTCAGGGGTGTAGGCTCCGTATAAGGTCAATTGTGGGACACGTTGAGAGTAGAAGGGGAAAGAGTGCGAGTCCGTGATGTCTAAAATTCAATACAATGACATTTTAATGCAAGTGCAGTAATTTTAGTTTTATCTCCGTTGAATCAGATGTCGGACTTATAGAAGCTAAAAAAAATAAAATAAAAGTTTACTTACGCCAGTGAAGAGTATTCAGCTTGTTGTAAGCCATCCCATCCACAAGTTTTTTCATGGCTTTCATGGAAATAAAATTCCTGGACGTGTCCAACATGAGACCTCGATAAGCAAAGAGTGGACGATCAATGACAGCACCGGCGGAAATGATCTGCACAGTGTCTCGCTGTTCGTCAAATGCGATAAGTTGGCTGAGAGTTTCTGAGAAGAAAGGCAATTTTATTTCAGTTTTTTGAAATTTGTCATTCTAATTCTAGTTAACTATGATAATCATCTTATGTCAAGTCTTACCAAGACCATGACGAGCTCCGAAAAAGGTGTCACCTCGAACCTCGGCAGTCACAACATTTCCTTGAGTCTCAATGTCAATTCGATAACCCTCCGAGGTTTCCAGGGTCAATCGTTCTTCTGGGTCGTCGACAACGACCTGCGCAGCCAAAAGAGGTTTAGTCTCTCATTGCCCCACTAAAAGAGCTCATCAGTTATCACGTTATTATGTATCAAGCATACCTGAACTTGGACCACGGTCCCTTCAATGACATTATCGTACTGCTTATCGAATGGATTTGGGCCACCTTCTTCATGGTTCGGGTGCATTCGTAGCACATTTTTCTGGAAATCGGTAACGACCCTGTTGAGCAACTCTCGGATTCTATCCGTGGGCGCAGTCACAGGAAGGATCCGAAGATTTTGAGGCTTGAAGGGCACGACAACTCGACTGAGCTCGACATCCCCTTAAACGAATCAGATTAATTCAGATTAGTTTGAGATTAATAGACTAATCTGTTTTGAGCTTCGAAGTGAGAGGATTTTGCAAGCGATTCATTAGAATATAAACAGAATCTTGTTTTTTAAATAGGCTGTGACTTTGTATTCCACGTATGTAAAGAAAGATACGTGGATTATCTACAAGATTTGTAGATGCTGGAAAAACCGGTATTTTGAGAGAGTCATTGACTTCCAGATTCATGAGTTGCAACGATTAAACAACTTTGTCATGAAACTGCACATTCACGAACTTGTAAACTTTTGGAAATTCATTTGCTCAGTCGGTAAAAGGTTTGAAAATGGGATAATTTTTATAACAATTGTTTTTGCCTATGCACTTGGATTTTAATACAAATTATGTATTATAAGTACCTGTTGGTCTTGGCCAAATAGCTCGGAAGCGTCCACAACGAAGGCGACATGTGTCCAAGGACTGAATTACTGTTGAATCTGAGCGTAATTTTTTAGTGCAGGTACCGTTTTTACAAACATAGGTCCATGGCGAGGGCATCCTAGTGGAAACAAAGGTTGTGATAATACTCCATGTCTCGCATTTGTAAAAGAAAAAACTCACCGGAAATAAGACTGTCCCTCTGATTCCGTTGGAAAGTAAACTAAGGCGAACGCAGCGACGGTGGCCACCAATATCATGAACTTGAACTTATCCATTTTGGAATTTGAAACACCGAATAAGTGTCTGTGCACTAAGAATTGTGTGATTGATGGGACTGGCCAACTACGTTCTGGCTTGGACACCAAGCACGAAACTGAGTAGCTTTGGCGAGGGAGCGACCGAAGCAAGGGAGGAAGAATGGAGAGAACAGGTTTCGCAGAGTGAAGATCAGGTCATGCACTTCGGACAAGAGGATCCCTGACACTGCCACCACTCCGTCCAGCCAAGGCGATTCAACCTGCGAGTCAACCGCACTCCTCGTCTAGAATTCTTGTTCCATTCTAAAAAACAAGCCCACACTCCGTCGATACCTTCTCACCATCGAATAAGACCGGACCGTCGTAGACTCGACCGCGTCCACGCAACTTGTGCTGCTTGGAGATACATGGCAGCGCCTCTTCCCATTTTAATTGGATAAATTCTCGATTCAACCGAATTTGTGAATTGGCCAAAATTGTGTTGATGCGGTCTAGTACCGCTGCGGGTAAAGTTTAGCTAAGCGTGTATGAGAGTGTGAGTACAAGTTGTTGCTTGATAATAGCATAATGCATCGCATTTCAGGTTCAAAATGTGTGTGCAACGTACTTTCAGTTTCATTTTCATCATATTTATTATCCTGTTTTTATGGGAATTAACATCCATCCATTCCCTGACTCCTTCAGTTATCATTATGCGAAAATATGCATGCATGTTTCTCCACTCATCGCAATGGCTGCATACAAAGTTGAACTAATGGAGAATTAGTGCAGGTAAATTTTGATGTTGTCCAAAATTGCTTGTCACCAGGTTAGTCAATTGTCGAGAAATATTGAATAATCAGACCGACTCATTTCCTCTTAAAAGACATGAAATCGTACAAAATTTTAAGAACGCGTGGCATACGAGAGATTTACACCCAAACATTTGTACATTTTTTTTTATTTGTGTAATATCCGACCAGACCACAAAAGCCAGGGAAATGGAGATAAGTATGATTGATGAATTAGCAGACAACTGCGAGTCTGGCGTGAAATGGTTGCTGATTTCAAATTATCGCATAAAAGAAGAACGATGTCGAGGAGTCACGTAAAAATGAGCGTGGAGCAGATCGAGTGCCGTGCAGCAGAGGTTACAAGACAAATCTGTTTTATCTGCAAAACTGAATTATACATGTACAACAACGCAACAATGGCTGCTCATCCTCCTCCAAGAAACTCGACTGGCTCACCATTATTACGCAAAATAAAGAAAAGCTGAGATCGTATCAACGTCATATCAACTTCATACCACACTGGCTTTTGGCCATCGACCTAAGGTGCTCCTTGTTTGTGGAAGTAAGTAATCATCAGCACTATCATCACTGCACTGCATACATGTGCACATACGAGTTTCATCAGCAGTGGAACGTTTCCATCGTCGGGCTCCATATTTTTTCATCAAATTTCAAGCTAATTAGTGTTTAGAAATAAACTAAAGTCTGAACTGCTTCGTCAAGCGACTGTCAAGGTAAGACTCGAAATACGGGATTTGCATTTCAGCCTGGATATGCCGGAATTAGGAGTGGGTGGCTGGTGTTCGTAATTCAACTGCTCATCCAGTGATCGGGTGGATGACATTGTTTCTTCGTCAGAGGCAGCGAAAGTCGTAAGCGAGCGAGAAAAGGAAAGTGGTCTGTCCGTGGGTCGGTGGTATTCCGTTCAGGCTGAGAATCTGGTTTGTTGAAGAAGGGAGAATGGAGCTTGTTCACCCTGCGAAGGAGGACGATGGTTAAAATATAAAACGATGGATGGTATGTTTAAAATATGATGATGCGGACAGTGACCCTCGGCTCGTTCGGAGTATTCAAGGCAATCCACTAATTGCAAATTGCCCGCATCTCACCCTGGCCATCGCCGTCGTATTTCACCACTTTAAAAAACTTTGTAAGGATTCATTTCAAACCTCGTCTTCATGTAGGAAGACGGGTGGAGAGAGGACTCGGGTTGTTGTTTCTTAATAGATGCACACCACCACCCAGCTCCGATAATTAGTTGAATATGCTGAATCACATGCCGGAAATTAGCACTTTAGATTAATAAACAATTCAGCTTTTTCATGATTGCTACATATTTTGGAAAACAAAATGAGACGAGGTTGTCGAACATATTTATATTTGTGCAATATGTAAACTTTGATGGTTTTGACGCCTACATAAAGCCAAGCCTGTTAGATATGGATACTGTACGCACACCGTTTTTACTTGCCAAATCAGAGACAAAGTAGAGTGTGTGGAAATAAAGTCAGGAAAAACTAGTTAGTTTTGCATTGACAATTAGCCATTAAAATTGTTTGAATAAAATAGTAAATAGATTTGCCATTTATCAGTGCGACTCTCTACACGAGTACTATTTCCATTCATCTACCACTAAAAAGACATATTTCACATTAGGAAAGGACACTTCTTGACCGAGACACCTTAAGTGCTTAGAAGCCATGTCTCGGGTAGAGAGTTTATTTATATTTTATGAATGTCTAACTTGGACGAGAAATTGTCAGACTTTAAGGATAGGAAACCTCTCAAGGGCAACCATCAGCACCGTCAACCGTGATACAGTAATTTATGCATGTCACATCTTCACTCTCTTCTACTCACCACTGAAGCAGTTGGATAAACTAGCTGAAATGAAAGCGTTATGATTACTGGGTTCAAAAGGGACAAATTGAATGCTAACGGTAAATGTGAGACCATATTAGATTTGTATTTATATGGATGTCGAGTCCCAAGGTTCATAACTAGATCAGTTGATGAAGCACAACAATAACACTCATGCTCAATTGAAATGTGTCACATGTCGTTGGTTCCTTTGGCTGCAGAGAGCTCTCGTCAGTGCATGGCGTGGGTGGTTTATGTGCCAATTAAGAAAAGTACCATCACTTTTTCCATACAGGATATTTACACAGAGAGACACAGACACATGAGAATAGATTATTTTAGATAGGATGGAGATGGGATGAAATAAAATAAATTCATTCCACCAGCAGCAGTCTCACTGCACTCACGGACTTATTAGTCGCACGGGTTTGATCCAGACTCGATTTTTATTTATTTACCAGTGCACGTTCAATGTCACTTTGACACCACCAGAGAGCTTTGAGACTGACGACAATAAACACAGACCCATAAACAACGAGAGGATTATGATGTTTCTCGTGAAACTTTTGTCCGTGTTCATAAGTTTCACCATTTGTCAACAAGTTGCGTCAAAGCTTCCTCCGAGGTATGCACTAGAAATTTATTATCATATAAAACACGAAATGCCGTTATTAATTTACTCAATAATGTACGGGTGATATGATAATTGATTTGCAGCCACTTTCAGAAGAGTCCTTGGACTTGGGTTTGCAGGGAACGAAAATGCACAAAACTTGATTCGACTCAAGTCCCTCCAACGGAGACTGGTCATCCCTTGAATGTCTGCAAACTGAATTGTGGTGAATATGGGTCTTTATTGCCAAAGCCAACTATCAAGGTTTGCATTTACTCAAGTATCTCATTGTTGGCCTCGATTTAAATAATAATTGTGCCCATTTAGACTGAAATTGGAGCAGGTTTCGTACCATTTTATCCGAACAATGTCAAGTTCGAGAAGCTTGAAGGACCATCGCCACGGACAAAGAGATTACTAAATGCATCCGTTGATATTTTCAAGTCTTACATGTTGCAGGTAGTGATCTTCTAGAGTGCACAATCCGTTCTCAAATTATCATGCGTATGTAAATCAGAGTGTGGGCGACACTTTTACTTTCAGAGTGTTTCCCGTTACGCTGAAGATGGAGAGGACCCATTTCCAGAAAACAGTACTGAATACGACCGTCTTTCTAAGAACATTGTCAAAGTCAGCATTGCCATCGCTCACCCCTTCGATAAGTTGACGTTGAACACGGATGAGGGTTATTTGCTTTCGGTTCAGCAGCAAGAAGATGGGGTACGATCTGTATAGTTGTTTAATTTTTGATAAGTATCAGTGCATAACACTCAATGCATATTTCAGGCAACTGTAATTGTTACCATTCAAGCAAATACATATTTTGGGGCTCGACACGCGTTGGAAACTTTGAGTCAGTTAATCGCTTATGATGACTCCAAAAATTGTCTCCAGGTTAATCCCTAAATAATTCTCGTTTTTCCCTTATAATTATTTTGCAGTCTAATTATCGAACTGAACCATGCACTAAATTGAATTGAACTAAATAAGAGATATTTTTTTATGGCAGATTGTGGATCGGGCTCTTATTCAGGACAAGCCGATTTTCCGGTACAGAGGAATTCTCCTTGACACCTCTCGAAATTTCATCCCCGTGCCAAAGCTTCGCAGACTTATTGACGGAATGTCGTACTCAAAGTTGAACATGTTTCACTGGCGTAAGTAAACTTTTATTTATTTATTGTAACTTTTATAAATCACACAATCTGAATTCAATGCAGTTAAAACAAAAGTTACTTTAATTGCATAAAAATACTGAATTTCAGACATCACGGACACTCATTCCTTTCCCCTCTACTCAAAAAGTGTCCCGCAGGTCAGTGGTTCAACTTTCATTTGTAATGCTAATTGAAGCCAAAGATTAAATGTTTGAACTCGTGGATAACATTTTTGGGCGTAATTTAGTTAACAAAATACGGAGCGTACTCTCCAAAACAAATTTACACGATTGAAGATATCGCTGGACTCATCGATTATGCGACTATTCGAGGGGTGAAAATTGTCGCTGAATTTGATGCCCCGGCTCACGTTGGTATGAATCGTGGTTGCAAAATTAACTTATCATCACAGGATTTCGATATTTTATCATTTTCACTACAGGAAACGGTTGGCAGTTCGGGCCGTCGGCTGGAAAAGGTGAGCTCGCAGTTTGCATCAATCAGGAACCTTGGACAGAATACTGCGTGGAACCACCGTGTGGCCAACTGAACCCAGTAAATGAGGAAATGTACAAAATATTGAGTGAGAAACGACTACATTTTACTTGATTATTTATGTATGATAATTTATTGATGTTCTGCCCACAATCTTCACATCACGCTGACAAATGTATTCTCAGGTGAAGTTTACAAGGACATGTTGGACGTGTTTGACAACGACGTGTTCCACATGGGTGGCGACGAAGTGAACGTCAAATGCTGGAACAGTTCATCTACGATCACACAATATTTGACTAATCATGGGAAAGACTTGTCGCAGGAGAGCTTTGTCGAGTTATGGGGGCAATTTCAGATCAGAGGTAGATTTTTGATATGCATGCATACATACATACATTGAATTGTGAATGGATGTTGTCGAGTGGATAATCATTGCAAAGAAAAATGTCATGACCTAGTTTGCATTTGCAATTTTCAGCATTGAAACTGCTCAAGGCCCGTTCCAAGGATGCAAATATGACGGCCATAATGTGGACGTCGGACTTGACGACGAAGGAGCATATCAAACAGTATCTTGACAAGAAGGACTACATTATACAAATCTGGAGCGAAGGACGTGATCCAATAATTCCATACTTGATCAATGAAGGGTATCGAGTCATCTTTTCAAACTATGACGCCTGGTATTTCGACTGTGGGTACGGAGGCTGGGTTGGGGGCGGTCCCAATAATTGGTGCTCTCCGTACAAAGGGTGGCAACAGGTTTGTGACATAGAGATATTACTTTCTTGTGTATTTTAAGTGGACATTTTTGGTGAATACGAGAATGCCAAACTCTCACTCTATTAGCCGTAGTGAAAGTGATTATAATTACCTTGCCTTGATTAAATTTTTAGCCTAAACCTCCACCTATCAGCCTAAAAGATAATTTCTAAAAAGTAATTTTCCTTTATTCGAGTAACAGGTTTATGGTAACAGTCCAATTGACATTTACGCAAATGCGACAAGTCAAGCAGATGCAAATCAGGCCATGAAACAAGGACTAATTTTGGGCGGAGAGGTCGCAATGTGGACCGAACAGGTGTGTCATTAATCGAATTATTAATCTATGTAGACATCAACTGTCAACTGCGTAAATAAATCCTTAATTTTGAATATAAGGCTGATGGTTCGTCCATCGAGAGCAAAATTTGGCCACGAGCTGCAGCCTTGGGAGAGCGATTGTGGTCAAACCCCACCACCGACTGGTCAGCCGCCGAGATTCGCATGGTGGCCAATCGACAGCGTTTAGTTGACCGTGGACTGGATGCTGATCAGTTGCAACCGGAATGGTGTCGCCAAAATGAAGGGCTGTGTCATGCATGAATCATTTAATCAAGTCGTAACAGCGTGCTTGTTCAATTTAGAACAAAAAAACAGTTTTCCAGCTTCCAATTTCTTTAATTACCATTTGTTTTTTACATAAAAATTACAATGAATTATTATGATACAACGAACCTACATAAAGTAGTAGTTCGCACTGACAAGGTTTCACCACCTCACCGGGAACAATCCATGATTTGGACCATTTTGTGAAATTCATAACAATAAATTGAATGGTTACTTATATAATACTTCCTCCTGGCACAGAGAACTAATTAAAAGTTTTGTGGAAACAAGAGGAAATGCGGTATTTCAATTTCATATACATTTGCCCGAATGAAATGGAGAAAAAATCTGGAGAGAAAGGGAAGACTTATGCATGAGTTTTATGAAAAGTTTATTCAAAGATGAAGTGGGAAGTCATAGATTTGGACGAGAGCAGAGTGGAATCTCAAAAGTGGAGTTATTTTCAGAATTTCTAAAGAATCCATCCATCCAAGTAGATGTATTCCAACGTCCAAGGTTCGAGATCCCTGGAGTGAACGCATTAGTGCGAAGGAAGAACGAAACGAACACCACTGACGATCAGAAACCTCGCGCGTATATTCATACGTCACTTAACTTGTCAATTACTATTTACAACTAATTAAGTTTTTCCTTAAAATCAACACTTTCAAATGGAAAAATAGGAACACCCAAATTGTTTCAGTTTTTTTGGGAGGTTGTCCAGAAAACTGCTGACTAATAACACTACGAATACTGCGATTCATCATATATAAGAATCTGATCCATGAACATGCATCCACGAATTAAACACATACAGTAGAAGAGATTATAATCATACCCCGGAAAAATATTTTTTTATCCTACCCTACTCATGTTGAGCTCAACACGAGTAGGGTAGGATAAAAAAATATTTGTCCGGGGTATGATTATAATATGACATTGATTTTGGTGGTAATGAAAAAGCGACACTTTTTCTTGTTCTTTGGGTTTGTTCATGCAATGATTCATGCAATGTGTGAAACTGTGCATGAACATACATCTTATTATCGTATACAATAAGTAATAATAACGAAAATACTGAGGACGAGTATAAATCTTGCAAACGTGGTAGAATTACATACTTTGCAAAATATTGGGGAAAATGAGACTAGCCTTTGAAACAGACGTTGTTCAACTCAAGGACATGATGACATCATTTTGAAAGTATGACATCCCGGAGGAGTGTGTGTGGGGTTGTTGACGTTGGACCTGGTGGAAATTGTAGGCCAAATTGTTGCATGAGTCCGCGGAATTTGGGTTCGAGATGATGATGGGGTGACATTTATTGTAGTTGTTGGATTCATGCTGGTGGAGTTGCATCTCGTGGATGTGTTTTTCCAATAAATCAGAGCTTGTTGGCTGGTTGGGGTTGTCCAGGTGGATGCAGTCCTTCTCGCCGTTCGGGTGATGAGATTCCTCCCAACAGCCTCCCGAACTATTTCCTTCTTCCTCCTCGTCCTCCTCATCCATTTCACTTCCCTCGCCTCCTAGAGACGAACTTCCGTTCCCTCCTCCTCTCAGAAGAGCTGGCCGATTAAAACCAAATGGCCACGTCTAAAGTTTCAAAAACAATGGTGAAAAATTAATTCGACTTGAAGTTTAAGCAATCCATAAATATAAATTTATGAATGTTTTTGGTACAAACGAAATTGGGGTAATATTTCTGATATAACGTCTCTGATAAAAACATACGTATGTATATTTACAAGCTCTGAAAATGTGAGATACATTTTTCTTCCCGACTTGTTTAGATTATTCGACGTGAGATTACAGATGTCTCGACTTGGAGAAAGCAATAAAACTCAACGGCACCCAAAGTTTATTTGTTCAGCCCAACAGAAGAGAGGAGAGAGATTATTTTGACTAATCAAATCATCAGATCGGGTTCAATGAAAGTGGAAAACCCTTATTTCGAACCACAGATAATTCTAAATTTGAATATACACAACGTTACATAATGAATATGCAACCTGCTTCATTTAACGAGATGTATTGCCTTTAAACTATTCAACTCTCTGCATGTAAAAAGCCCCAACTTGTTGTCTTTTGAAGAACAGACGGGAGGAACTAACTCCTTTGATCTTCTGCGACACTGTCGATTTTCAACAAGATAATTCAACATGTGAACAAAAACGGGGATACTTTTTTGACACTTCCAAAGTACATCTTCGTTACACTTTCTAATCTGAATCGTACCCTGATTCGAACATATAAGTATGTTCATATTGTGTCAGAGTTCACCAAGAAATGTCCGATCAACATAGTATACAGATAGTCTTATTACACTAGATTTGTAAAGCAGTGACGCTCTCAGGGGCACATTGCGACCAGCTCAAAATGAGATCAGAATGTGGTCAAATGTCAAGCTTTACTGAAACATAATATTATGCTATTGGTCTATGTCGTAAAATTGGCACACAAACTATTTTTTAATAGTCAATAAACTAATAAATGATATCCCAAAATAATAAAGGTGGGTATGTCAACTCAGGACTCCTAAGTTTAGCCCAATTCATTCACTGGCGTGTTTTTGCTGTCTTTTGGACAGTTTCCTCCAATTGGTTTACTTTGGAGAACGTAATAAAATACATCCACTTATATTACTTAAATAAACAACACGTCAAAATCAAAGTTTAAACGGGATGCGTGGGTAAAAGGATCAATTTCCATTTCCTAAAAAGCTTGTGTTTTGGTAGTTTCTTGGCTCAAGCCACGGAATTCATTGTTTCAACAAACGAAGTAATGTTAACAATACGTGCTGAGTTTGAAGTGCGTCTGGTTAAAGATTCTTACCAAAGTCATTTCTGGATGTGATAGATTCTCATCGGGGGACAGAATGCTGTCATCAGTCAACTCCTTCTTGAGATGGGCAATGTAAGACGCTGCAAGTCGCAAAGTGTCCAATTTGCTCAGCTTTGTGTCCGCTGGGACCCAGGGCAGGGTTGTTTTTAGTCGACAAAATGCTCTGAAAATAATAGTGGCACCGTGCATTAGACCATAATCGAGATCGAGACTGCTCTTGAGTTGTTTAATGATAAAGTCGTTGAAAATTAGGATTTAGAAAAATGGATAAAGTGACGAAATGTGAAACTTGTGAAAAAAATCTAGAGAAAATCGCAGCCCGATAATTTAAATGTCTCACCTGCTCAAGACTCTCATTCTTGCTCTTTCTCGGGCATTTGCAGCATTCCGTTGTTGAGGTTTGCCCTTGTTTATGGATATGGAAACACCAGATCCTGATTTTCCTGAACCCTTCTTTCGTCTCGGCATCTTGGAGTAATCTCACAAAAAAAGTCTCACACTTGTTCTGGAAAGACAAAGAAATGTTGAATTGTTTGTGTGATGGGCTTATCGGGACGTTGATCCCGCTTGCTTAGACAAAGTCGGATATGGTTTGTTGGAGGAAAGGAAGATCCGATTTATTGCCCTATTAAAATTAGTGCCTCATTCTTCACGAGATCCGACATTGTTCATTGACTGAGAGAAAAGTTTAGTTCAAAAAGAATCTCACTTAAAAAAAATATATTTCAACACTTGGCTCCAACTGCAGATTACAATCGACCAAATGGTGTGATAATGGACAAATATATATTCCTGGCTTATCTACTTTGGTTTTTGCGGAGATGGTCTGTCAGATTTTTTAACGTCCTAAATAATAACAAAATGTAATCTTTATAATAATCCGCTTTTTCTAAATATTGAGCAAATATCAATTGTGAGCAATGACGATCATAAGGATCTATTTGCTCACCCAATTGAATTTCGGCCAAAACTGTAAAAATTTCACAAAATTAAATCGTAGTGTTTTTTTCAGACTATGTGTATGCTGCTTAAATATTGCATGAATATTATATTACTACTCCTATGTTTCAGTAGGTAGTATCCAAATATGTATCGATTACAATCAATCAAACCCAATTCAACATCACAACTAGATATTGAATTCTATAGCATCATATTTAGAAGAAAAAAATTGGCTGTGTAACTCACCTAATACTTAATACTTCCTTTCGATAGGGGTAGATTCGAAAACTATTTCGTGTTTGCGTGGGTGCATTTGCACGCACAAATCAATTATTATTGCACAAAAACCAATTATTATTAGAAGTATTATTATGATCGTGTTTAGTGTCACCGTTCAATGGGGAGGATTATCTTTATGTTGATGTGCAGTTGCGTCAGAATGAAAAAAATGCATGGGAGTAAAATATGTAGCAAAGTAGCAGGCTTCCACTGAATGATTGAGCTCTCATCATAATCGGTATTGACACTTGGCGTTTGTTCATTTTCATTTTCCTCATGACGCCAGGGAAGAAAACGCCGAGAGGAGAAATAAAGGTTCGGAAGAAGGAATACTCGTCCAATAAAACTTTTCCGGCCTTCTCCGCCTTTGACGAAATGTTTACACAAGGACTGGGTGGACCATCCTCCAAAGATCTTGGATCTCCGCCTTGATCCATTTTTAGCATCTTCCTTCCTTCGCCATCACCAGCATCTCATCCATTTTCACCCTCTTCTACCTCCTCCTGCCTCCTCGTCTCTCTCCATAAAACCGAGAGAGAGAAATGCAAAATACGTACTTGGGGTGAAAATTAAGTTCCACCCGATCGTAAGATATGTACGTATGCTCCTCATTCCAAATCTTATGCAAGTCTTGAGTATATACCCATACATGAGAAATCTTCACAAATGTCAATTGAGCGTAAATTGCTAATGTTAATTCATTGAATAATGAGAAACGCATTGCTGGCACAAGAAGAGTATTACTTACTACCTAATCATTTGTTCCTGAGGATCCAAGTCATCCAATGCTGGTGGTCCAGCTCTATTTTGGTAGAAATTGGTGTACAACAAGAGAAAGGATGTCCCTTTGTGGCGTCTCCCACTTGTAATTTTGACTCTCAGACAGATTAATGATTTCATCGTCGTCAGGGTATAAATTCTCTACAAAGAGTTCCTAAAAAATGTCCCTAAACATATTTTGAGAAACGGGACAAAATAAGATTCCCAGAATTTGTGGTCTCACTCCAAAAGGAAAGTATCAAATTTCCCTGCAGCATTTTATTCAATATTACGACCTCAAACTAGGATCATAGGTAATGCAAAAAGACTGATATTATTTGATATTATTAGCAAATTCTGAGTCTTACGAATGATAATCACATTTTCATAAAGGCACGACCAATTCTAATCAAACTGCACAATACTTAAAAAAAATTTCAAACCATTGTGAGGGGGGACCTTTGAAAACACGACCATGCCCTAATAGTTGCATGAGATTTGTTGAGAAATATTTAGAAACGAAGGGTGTCTTTCCCATCCCAACGCAATATGTGTGTGAGTTTAAATGACCCTTTTAGTTCATATTTTAACACGAGCTACAAAGTTGTCAGCGACCACAGGATATTGGGCTCCAATTATCCATGAACTCATAACGACCTGTCAAAGATACGCTTCATTGCCAACCGTTTACTTTTCCTCCAGCACTCCAAAATCCATCCTGGTTAAGCTTTAATATGGCAATATTTTCATTTCAATCCTCCAAATCTCACATTTCTCTCTGGAAAGTGTGGAAAAAGCTTGAGTGACTTTCAATGAGGCACTAAATCGGGCAGTTTATATCTTCCCGTTCCTTTTTTGTCATTACAAAATTCAGCTCCAAGTTAGTCATGTCTTTTGTTAGGAAATCATGAGATCATTTATTTCTCGTGAAATGCAACTTTATTTTAGAAAATGGAAACTTTAATGCACCATGAAATTTCGGACCATTTAAATTAATTATCCGTATCCCTTTGCCCTGCTCTAGATCCTGAATATCCATACATACGCCAACCAAGTCTCACTCTGCCTCATCTAATCTTCATCCAAGTTCAACGTCTCATTTTGGCTGACGGCGAGTTTCCGGTGGAGCAGTGGTGGCCATCTGTAACTGAAATCTGCTACTAAACCAATGACCGGCACATCGTGGCACTATTTTAACACTCGCTTTCACTCTTACATATGTCATTTTGCGTAAAACTTTAAGAAAGTATTCAAATTTGTCACATAAACCCTGTCCGCTTCACAATAATTGTTTGACTAATTAACGGTTCAAGTTCAATTATTAGTCAACTGTTCAACACTTCTGTGTCAACCTTTCTAATACGCTAATAATTGGAGGAAGCAGTGAACTTTAATTCAGTAAGCAGTGCAAGAAAAGAAATACTTCAACATGGACGGTCTAAAATCGTCAAGCCGATGGGCCGATGAAATTGATGACGACGAGTTCACCCCCACCACGGCCACGGTCGAAGTTAAGGAGAAGAAGCAGCCTATCGGTGTTCCCAAAGAAGATGAAAGAATTGTTACAGAAATCAAGATTGACCCGGATTCTGGGAAAAAATCAAAAATCTTTAGAACTTTTCGACTAGAAAAACAATTGGGTAGAGTGTTTATTTATTTATAAGAATAATTACAAAAAGAAAGCAAAACTAACAAATAAGGGTATTATACTTTAATGATTTGTTTCTTCTTTCTTTCTTTCTGCAGTTAGTAAAGGTGTCGTGGAGCGAAAGAAGTGGCCAAAGTTTGGTCAATCGAAGAAGGATCCCCCAGGTCCCAACGGGTACACGACGGTGGTGGGCGATGACATCCAAATGCAGTTCCTCAGCACCGACAAGAACGGAGTTGAGCAGAATGTGGACGAGACTAACCCACTGGAGGCCGCAAAACTTCAAGGGAAAGGTGTTAGGTGCAGATTCTGTCAAGATAACCATTTCAGTGCCAAGTGCCCCTACAAAGATGTGGGTCTTCCCCCATTGGACAATGCCCCATCTCGAATTATGGACGATTCATTGATGGATGGCAAGAAGGTAAGTTGTGCGAGTATATGAATAAAAATGATGCACCCAAGATAATTATTTTACGTGTCATACATTTCGTGTAGGATTCCGAATCGAAACCTGGTATTTTCGTCCCTCCTGCCATGAGAGGTGGAAATCGTCGTGGTGAAACAATGATGAGTCAAGCCAACCGCAAAGATGATGCCACCATTCGGGTATCGAATCTCCCAGAGTCCATGTCGGAAACGGATATGCAAGAACTTTGCGTCCCCTTTGGAAAAATCGAAAGAATTTTCCTTGCAAAAGACAGGTACCATCCTTATTTGTTTAGCCTTCACTTGATGAACATTGGTACATTAAACAATTTATTATTGTAGAGCCACCGGTGTTTGTAAAGGATTTGCCTTTGTCACATTTCAATCCCGAGAAAGTGCTGCGAGGGCACTAGTGGCGTTGAATGGTTACGGTTACGATCATCTAATTCTTAACGTCGAATGGTCTGCGAAACGGGCTGACTAATTTTTTTTGTTGATTTATGATCATATATAATTTTTTTAGTTGTAGATATATACTTGTTTGCAACTTACGTTAAAATAAAACAACTTTGATATCATCAAGTAACTTATCTTTATATATGGAATTACAGTTTTTTACAATAATTTAGTTTGACTTGAATGAGATCACGACGTGTAACAACATAAAATGGCAAAATGTCAAAAATGTAAAACATTTGGTTACAAGGAAAGATTGGTTATATTGAACACATGTTTAGTGGTTCTGATTTTTCTAACTGAACCAAAGAAATCTGTGATTCTGACTTGAGCTGGGTCACGACCAAATAAATCCTTTCGAACGCCAACAGTAGAAATGCAAGCCCATTTAGGACATACTCCCAACTGTATAATACAAAGAACGCCACAATGTAGACATTTTATTTAACTGGCTCGTTAATTAATATTTTTTATCCCCTTACAAATTGTCCCATGGTCTTGTCACTATCGGGCTGAACTTTCTCCAGAAATTCTAAGGCATAATAAGTGTACCGGTCTATAATGTACACACCAATGCTCGAGTCTACATGGTGCTATAAACATATTAAGTTAGAACTCTCGAAAGTTTACTAACCCCATCATACCAACATTCAGTCATTTCGTCGATATTAATTACTAACCGAAAGAGAATCTTCGCCAACCAGGCTACTTGCTACAGCTAGAATATTGGGAGAGTAAAACTTGTCGTACATGGAAGCAGCTTGACATGTGTCCACCATAAAAAATATTTCGTTGTACCTAATACAATATAACATTTAGAAAATGTTTTTTTTTAATTTAAATATGGTTAAGAATAGTTTGAGTACTTTTTCTTTTGCCACATTTGCTCAAATGCGTCAGCCAACTCGACATTCGTAATTTCTTCGGAATCTTGAAACTTTAAAAACCCGTCTCCACCATGTCCTGTCATGTAAATAAGAATATTGCTACGTTCATCTGATAACAGTCTTTTAGACCTCGGCGTATCTGGAGCAACTCTTCCGGTTAGAAGACGAACAAAGTTTTCTACTGTAACTTCATATCCTCTGAAAATGCATTATTATTTACTTATGATAGCATAATTAATTAAACATTTTATTACCCTAATTCATAGTTAATTTCGCGTTTACCTGTAATCTACCTCGACATCATCCCCGTAAACATCAATATTTTGATTTGCATTATTAAAAACTGTAGCTGGAGTTGGATTTCTCGGATTGCATGCCATGTCATCAGCAACCATCAGAATAATTTGACTATCTGGAATCCCAAGCCTCTTGACACTTCGATAAATTGATAACACATTAGCTACATGACGATAATTGAACCAGAACCTCGACGTATCCACAAGAACTGCCCAATTGTTGGTATGATTCGACTGGAAAGAAGTAAATTTATTTGAATTTACTTACAATTTCTCTTATGTATTATGAAAATATGATAAACTACAATTCTGCATACCGCATCAAAGTTGAAGGAATGCGAAGTTCCAATCAAGCCGTCATTCAGCAAAATAACAGCAGCGATTGCAAAACTCCAAGAAACTGTACTTTTAAACATCTTTATAGGAATGACTCGATTCCTTCTGATATAACTACTATACCAAAAAATTATTTTTTAATAATCCCAACAATTAGTTAATTTAATTAAAAGTAAAGACAACGAACGACTGCAAAGTGATCGTCAAAAATTGAATGGGTTTGTTCCTCAAGTTCCCGGCCTCACAAAATCTCACTTTCCAGCCGGCAGCAGAGAAAATGTGTATGCTTCAGCGGGATTCTGTCGTCTCTTTCCTCGTCGTCGTCGCTTTGCTCTTCTGCTCATCGCTTCAGAAATAAAATTTCGAAAAAGGTTGGCTCTGGACTTTTGAAATTGTATTTTTATAGCAGGGATCATATCACATTTAATTCGAGGTAAGGTGTAGTAATGTAGTATACCATACGGCACAGACACAAAATAGCAAATTCCTGATTCAATCTATTTCATACTTATTTTTACTGAATCGTCATTCACAAATTGTGAATTGGGAATCACAAATTGTGATTCCCAATTTGCAAAGTGAATTGATAAGTTGTCCTCATCAACTTTCAAGGTTGAAAGTTTAGATTTAATTGTGCTTGTGACTATTTAGCCCAATTCAAGTAAGTATGGTGTGTTGAAATCCGTCAGCAGAATAATTGATTTCAATTAATTCACAATTGAACTAGAATTTAGTAGAAATTAGACATTGAATAGAATTTTTATCAACCCACGTTGTTTATTGCTTTATTGTAGTTAACAAATGGCGTCCGACGTGAAAGGCTTGTTGCCGGCCGACCTCGGACAATTGGTAAACGAGTGCAACGTTTTGGTTGTTGGTGCTGGCGGCATTGGGTGCGAACTGCTCAAAAACCTCGTCGTCTTTGGATTAAAAAATGTCCATATCGTAAGATAAACTTGTCTATAGAGTTTATTACCATTATAATTAATTATTACATTATTCTAATTTCTTCCAGATTGATTTGGACACTATTGAAGTGAGCAACTTGAATCGCCAATTCCTTTTTAGGAGAGAACATGTAGGCCGCCCAAAGTCGATTGTTGCAAAAGAATCTGCCCTGTTGTTCAATCCCAAGGTTTGCATCACTGCTTACCATGATAGTATCACTGAGTAAGTTGTCGAACAAACTGATTAATCATGCCTGATAAGGATTCTGACTCATACGTTACTTTTTAATAGGTCAAAGTTTGACGTCAACTTTTATAAGCAATTTAACGTGGTTTTGAACGCTTTGGACAATCGAACTGCAAGGAGTCATGTGAATCGAATGTGTCTGGCTGCTAAAATACCATTAGTGGAATCTGGAACTGCGGGGTACAAGGGAAATGTGTCGGTAATAAGAAAAATACATATACACATATTACCAAAATAGTGTCACTTCAAATTTGGACCGTTTTCATCTTAGTTCCATATGCAAGGAATTAGTGAATGCTACGATTGTACTACAAAACCTCATCAGAAAACTTTCCCCGGCTGCACAATCCGTAATACGCCATCTGAACCAATCCATTGCATTGTGTGGGCGAAACATTTGTTCAAGTAAGTAATTTGTATTCCTTAAATTATTTCATATGCATTAACTTATTTATACCAATACAGCCAGCTTTTTGGAATTTCTGATCCTGATGAGGATGTATCTCCAGATTCCAGTGATCCTGAAGCAGTTGGTAGGTTTTTATTTTGTCTTCAGATGACAGAACAACTATAAAATAACTAATGCATTATTGTGCATTTGTACATGTAGGTGATGCTGGTAAAATTGCACTGGAAGAGTCAAATGATACAAACGGACAAGTCAAGGAGAAAGTGTCCACTCGCCAATGGGCACAGAGCCACGAGTATGATGCACAGAAGCTTTTCCAGAAATTATTTCACGATGATATCAAATACTTGCTGTCAATGGAGAATTTGTGGCAAAAGCGTAAACCACCGACCCCCTTGGATTGGAATGATCTTCCAGATGTGATTGCCGGCAGCAGTTCTATTGATCAGCAAACTGTTACGGCCTTGAAAGACCAACGAGTGTGGAGCATGCAGGAGTGTTCTCAAGTGTTTAAACAGAGCATTAATCAACTGAAGGAAAAACTAGAAAATGAAAAAGATCTAATTTGGGATAAAGATGATGATCCCGCAATGGACTTTGTTACTGCTTGCTCCAATGTTCGAGCACATGTTTTTGGAATTCAACAGAAAAGCCGATTTGATACAAAATGTAGGAATTTTTGGTCGTATTACAACTATTAAATACAAGATTACACCTACATTTTTGTTTGAATATTGACAATGTTTATACTTCAAACCCTGCAGCTATGGCCGGCAATATTATCCCTGCCATCGCGTCCACAAATGCAATCGTCGCAGGATTAATTGTCACAATGGCGTGCAAAGTTTTGAAGAAGGACTATTACAAATGCAATACGGTAATACTAGATGATATTCATACCACAAGGTAATCACCATATATAACTCCATTAAATTTTCTTTGATTTTAAAGATATTTGTGATGCCACGACCGACTGCTGTTAAAAAAGATCTGTTCCCAGTAAGTTGAATATCTCATTTTAAATTTCGATTGGTATACATTATGGACAAATAATATACGAGCCCATGCACATATAAATTATCAATCCTTAATTCGATTTTCTTCAACATAACACTATCAACTATGTATTTTTTCAGTTGGATCAAATCGTTGGGCCCAACCCTAAATGCTACGTTTGTGCTGAGAAACCCGAGGTATGCATGCATTAATTATTTTCGCTGGAAAGTATTGGATTGTATAAGCAAAAGATAACGTAATTTATATATTTTTTAATTTGACAGATAATTGTCAAGATGGATTTGGAGAAAATGACAGTAAGGATATTGGGAGACAAAGTCCTGAAGACTGAGCTGTGCATGATAGCACCAGATGTTGAAATTGATGACGGGCAAGGCACGATTTTGATCTCAAGCGAGGAAGGCGAAACGGACGACATCGCCGACAAATTACTCAAGGTACTCATTAGCATCCATTTTTTCAATAATAATAAAAATGTCAACGATTATTATGATATTCATTTCTTTCTGAATTCAAAGAACTTTATCAAAGATGGAACAAGACTGAAATGCGACGATTTTCTTCAAAATTATCAAATCAATATTACTGTTGCGGCCATGGTGGACGAAGAAGATGAGAAAGATCGAGAAAAGTCTGGCATCCTCTTTGAAATTATTGGGGATCGGACCCAATTGAATGCAAAGGAACAAGTTGCCGAAGGGAAGAAGACAGATGACCAAGAACAACCTTCGACGTCAAAGAAAGGTAGCATTTCAGACAACTGCGAAAGTGTTAATAAATCTTTCCATCAATGTATTTTATTTTGTATAGCTAATCCTGTCCATGATGACGAGGATGATCTGATGATAATTGAACCCACCACTGTAAGTGAAGTCCAAGTGGCTGGTACCAAGCGTCGCTTGGACGAAACTGAGGAGGACACTCCTTCGAAAAAACGAAAGGTGGAAAGTGAAACTTCGGAAGTGATTGATATCGATTGAGTATTTATACATTATACAAGTATGGTTTGGATATTTTTATGTTTATTCTCAGTTTCTTACTAATAAACAATCTCTTATTATATTTACTTAACTTATCAACTACATGTTTATTTGTGTCAATGTAACGTCTGGTTTGCTGGATACGTTGACCAGCTCACCACAAAACTCACACGTTACATCATGGCAGATACCACGCATGGTGCAACACATGTAGTTAGTGCATCCCTAAATAGGAAATCCATTTCAACCACAATAAACTACAGAAAGAAACAACTTAATAAGTGTATAAATACATATTCTAATTAATTAATTATCATCATTTTTTAAAACCCCATTTATTGCTTCACTTGTATATATTCTGATTCCTTTGACTGGTAAAATGTGTTAAAAATAGTCACAAACAAGACTAGAGAAAGCACAATAATGTACATACATATAAAACATTAAAGTCGAAAATTTAAAAGGCCGACAATGTCGCTGTGCTGAATGTACCCTTGTCCCATAAATAATTACAATAGATACACATTATGTACTACCTAGCATTCCTACGCGAAATACAAAATAGTTGAATTTAATATACTTATTTACTCGAGCGAATAATGTCGATTTAACAACTTGAAAGCCCGAAGGATTTTATATTAATTATCTTTACAGGTTACTTTTTATGTTACTATTACTATTATTATAATCTGTTGCTGCATTTGCGGAGTTGACAAATCATTTTTTAGATGTGTACCTAGACATTGCTTATAAATATGTTACTTTAGATTTCGAACCTAATCTCTCTCAGGTCATACATGGCAAGTGCAAGACCAATCTGCATATTAATTGAGTCTGGCATAAGTGGCATAAATGAGCTACAAAGTAATCGTTATTATGTATTGATTTTAAATAATACGTTGTTTGAGCACTTTTTTTAGCAATAATTATGTTTTCTTGATAACTTTTGCTATTATCCGTTTTCACATCGAACGGTGTCACAATTCGTGCTCCAAAACAGACAATTTCCAAAACCTGAGTAGCACAGAAGTGCAACGGCAATGATGAAGACAAGAGAGCTGAAATTTAAACATTTTATTAATGTTTGCTAAAACTGTTGAATCTTTTACTTGCTATGCGATAGTCTTACCAAATCGTGCAGGGCTTTCTTTCGAGAAAGAAACCAGTCAAATAAAGAACCATAAACATTACATGATTATGTAGAAGAGCTGGATTCACTGGTTTCGGCAGCAAAAGTACTGGAATCAACCATTGCAGACAGTACATATTTGTTTGTTACCGTACGAAAGAACAGGAAGCTAAAAGATATCTATTGGAATCTCTTGTTGTGGTAGACTGTATTTCTTCTCCAACCTGCTGGAAGAACAAATAAAATTAGATTACGCTTTGATTATTACTTTTTTTACTACAGGTAACATGCAATTACACAGTACTACATTCATGCACAATATTACCCCTTGATTGTAAAATTTGTGGACTAAAGACGACACAAGCTAGTGTTAAATCGACCTTTGAAAAATCAACTCTTCAATTTGTTTGGCCACCTTCAATACAAAGACGACGGTGTATGTCAGATGTAAGTAAAAGTAACACGGAAATTAAAAACAAATCAAAAAGTCAATTTATCGTTTCTTGGTTATCTTACCTCTCGAAAATTATTGGCAACTCCAAGCCACGTCACGTTACATTTAAAGTCCTCCCGACACCCGACGTTGCAGTAATTAATTAAAACCTTAAATAAATCTTCCTTGATATTTTCATCTAGAATAAACAGGTGGAGATTGATTGTGGTTGAAGAAGTTGTTGTGTAAGTTACACAATGCCAAGTGTCAGGCTCTTTCAACGTACACAGAAGACTTTGATAAGTTAAAAATATTCCTACTCTAGAAACAGTTCAAAGTTTACTATTATTGAGCAGCTAAATAAGCTGTGTGGAGTAAAAGTGCGAAGAAGTGAGTGAGGATGATCACGTAAGAGCACGTAGTCAGCGGGGAAGCGAAGATCAGCCGCAACATTGACTGACTCTTGCACAACAAGTGAAAGTCCGCTGCTTTCTCCCGAGAAAATCCGACGCGTTTGTTGCCCAGTCACTGCTCCTGCTGGCTTCCAGGCTAGTCAGTTCTCTGGCTGGTGATAAAACCCATACCTTCCGAAAACTTGTCTCAAATATCGAATGTGTACAAAGTAGCAAGCAAAATCTGCCAAGAAATGTGTAATGGTAAGAATTGTATTTTGTATTTACTTTCTCTCCACTATTTGTATATGGCATTTAACTAATTAACTGATCTACAGATGGTTATTCTTAAATCTCAACAGGTTGATTTAAATTGACACCACTTGCTGGCCAAATTAAAACGGCTAAGCCGTCGTAGGATGAATGAACTACACGGTGCCAAATAAATTGAAATTAAAATGAGTTTATGAATTTGCCAACTTAAATAAGGTCAATGGCTCATCAGTAGAGGGTTTCGCCAATACTAAAGGAGAAAATTAGCTTCTGAGATTACGGTGAGATTTTTGTAATGTTAACTTTCTCACTATAAATTGAGATAAATATAAATGAGTATAAATTGAGATAAAGTTGGTCATCATAGCTATGTTCACAATGCATTGCAGGGTTCTGAAATGAAAATGTTGGCGAGACACCGTCGGGAGGAGCTGATTTGTCAACAAAATTTGGCATCATCATCTTCCTCGGAGGAAGACACGGATCAACTGCAGCCTCCTCCCGTTCGGAGAAAGCCCGTTGGCCGAAAGAAAGCGTCCCCCCAAAAGAGAGGCATGACCCTTGCCTTGACATCAGGAGTCTTTGCTGCATTGGCCGGCACCTTTGGGAAATTGGCAATCAACCAGGCAGAAACAATTTCTGTGTGCGAACAAGTATCAAATTATCAATTCAAGTTCTCAACGCATGATGCGTTTGTCCTATGCGAAAATGTGAGTAGTCGTAAGTCACGTAAGTGACTGATCACGACGACTAATCAGTTAAAAAAGTGTCAGTTTCTGAAATGTGAAATTCTTTATATAGTAATTTGTTCATTTGTTCTATTTCCATCAGGCCTCCGTGTACATTCGAATTGTTGCATTCGTCACAATGATCTTACTGAACACTGTAATGTGGACAACTTTTGTGAAGGTTAGGAATAATAATAATTTTTCTATATAACTATTAATTTAATACTGACGAAATATTTTTTTCCCGTTTGTGAAGGCATTGCACTACTGCAGCACATCACTGGAAGCAACTATTACAAACACGGCTGCAAATTTTTTCTCCTCGGTAAATTTTGTTCCTTGCTAACATGGTTTTAATTTTCTCATGATTCCGATTAATAATATGATGCATATTACTTATTGTTATATTTGCAGGCAATTGTGGGGCAGCTCGTGTTTGATGAGTCCGTCAGTTTAATGTGGGGGTTTGGGACAGTTCTCATAATTTGTGGCCTACTGCTAATGAATTACGGCGGTGGTGGCAAGACTGGTGCTGAATTACGAGATTACCGTAAAAAATCCAAGATTCGTTAACTCGTTATTAACGTCCAAACTCCGTGCCATAATAGGAATATATACAGTCATGCAGGCTGTATATCCCAGCAGCAATGTTTTAGTAAAGCAAATCTATTATAAATATTGATTATTGCACGACTGTATTAGTGGTTGTGTATGTTATTACTTCAGTTCGGCAGATATCCTATTTCCTCTACTATTTTTGCTCTGTACAATTTGGGAACAATCTGTGAGAAGCTATTTTTAATGTATTACATGCCTGTGGCCAACACCATGACTGTATTTTCATTATTATGAACCTTTAATAGGTACATTATGATTTATGTTTGGATAACTCTACGAAAGTTACCGTTTAGTACAAAAATTTCCAAGTCAAAGTCTGTCATAATAATAATAGCTTTATAAATAATTAGAACAGGATGATGCAGGTTTCAAAGTCAACTCAAGTCAATAATATGCTAAGTACGCATTGTTATAGTTAGTTAATTGGTGTCGTTAAATTAGTGTTGATGCCTTCCCGAGCAGCGGAAACAAGCTCGGAAAAATTTTTCAAGTGCTAAACAAGTTTAATCGTAAAGTAAATTAATTGCACGATCTCAATTATTGACAAAAAATTATAGATTCTGGATATATTTGTTAAAAAATTGTGTACGAAAAATTCAGGTGACAAATATTACCAACTAATGTACTTATTTATATAAATCGAACAAAATTTTATCATTCCATTCCATGCATTACTATACATAATTATATATGTACTTTTACAGCACTTTCTGCATTTGTTTCAAACTTTAGAATAATAATAATAAAAATCGCACGTCAAGTTAACTCTTAGAAAATCCTAGTTAATTAATCTGTTAATTTGCCCTGAAATTTTAATACTACAAGCACATATTTATTCGGGCCACATAATTCTCCATTTCTCAAATTAGCTTGCAAAATGTCCACCCTTGACACTCGGACAGTGTCCAAAAATTCTAGTCAACTTCAAATTTGCAAGCTTTTCCACATGTAAATTAAGAAATAAATTTTGGAGGAGCAAAGCCTGTAATTTTCTAAACCTCCATGAATTCATTGATTGAAAACCTTCACAATGAGGAAAGTTTCTTAAGAACCTGGGGTCTTGATAATTAAGTGAATTTAGCACCCATAGGTTTTGTGCTATGGCTTGATGCAATGGCCTATTCTCCCTCGTATCTCTACAATTAACTACTGGAACTGGTAATACAAACAATGAAACTATCCTAAAGTTGTTATAAATACTTCAAAGTATGCGGGACAGAATACGGATTTGTTGACCATTTTGGTTTTATTCGCAATGCAATGAATACATGTTTTTCAACAGTCCAGTTTTCATGAACCAAATCCAGTTCTTTGTGTTCGTGAGGTAAGCGCCCTTCTGCCTGTGGGTAATATTATTGTAATCAAATAGCCATCCCATGACAATGGGAAGGTACGAGTGGAAACTGTACGAGTGGTGATGATGGAAATGGAATAATGGAGATGGATATTATACGGACAGGTAAAACATAATAATGTACCTGCTGCCCCTCTTCTTCTGCCAACGTTGAGAGACAAGTCACCCTCATCCAACTTTATTAAGCAGCAGAAGCTACTTCTTGAAACTGTTCTGTCCGTCCGTCCGTCCAACCCTCTGTCACTTAACCTTTTTGAGTTTGGGCATGTATATTGTAGATTGAGGACGAATTCGGAAGTGATATGCGTGCTATTGACCCCACTCCCATGTCTCAAAAGGGTGTAGTTTCTTAGCCCGGCTATATATAACTCTCATGAAACTCACCCGATCTAGCAGACTTCAGGTACAAATGTGGTGTGGGGAAAATGAGAAAGCAAGTTCGAAGATGGGCAAGGTCGACCAAGTAACTGACCTGTGGGGCCATGCATGTTGGGTGAGTTGTGTGGACAGCATATTCTAAATGGTCGTGCAAAGCTGGAAAGACTACCAAACTTGAAACTAACAATAAAATATCATATTACTTTTAATGCAACTTATTTTTTAGAAGTCTGACAAAAATCAATAAAAATTGTTAGAAAATCTGAATTTGGGCAATGAAATTTGTTGCATACACAAGAACCTCATGCATCCGGTGCATATTATGTTATGACCAAAAACTGAACGACCACACCCCCGTTCTTGTAGTTACTGTGCTGCGGGGAACAGTGAGACTTGCATTCCAAACTGTAGATTACTGTCTCATACCACCGACCTTCGTATTGACCAAGTATTCATTTTCATCATCTAAATCCACCAAGCTTCCACTACTTTACAATATCTGTTCTTCTAAAGCTTATGCTTTCACATTCTCATTGTATTATGGTTTACACACACCTTTATAGCGTGATGCTGTGCTGATGTTGATTTTATTCTTGATCAAGTTCAGTAGGGGACCAATGTAATGCAGCGTATGTAAGTAAGGATACATGGATGTGTTAAATTCTCAGACCACGGGTAATATACGATTGTTGGTGGTACATAACTCTACCAAACTATTCAGTCGTATTCTACAGTTGGCGACGTTAACTGTGATGCGCATTTTCGCATAAAATAAATGGGAACAGTTTGTAATTTGAAACCCGGAAACTTATATTACGGTTTGCTGATAAGGATCCTGTTCATGTTCGTACTTTTGTGTCAAACCAAGTTTTGTGGGTTCTTATCGTAGAGGTGTTATTATTTACTTTACATGTGTATGCATTCTGCACCCAATATTTGCAAGTATCAGTTGTGCAAGTTAACGGACTGGACTTTGATAAAATACAATAGACCCGGACACAGTAAAACTGGAATCTCGATTCTAATGGATTTAAACACGTCTCTAAATTTTTAACGTCTCCGTACCCTAAGCTGACCGGCTTCTGTGTGAACAAAAGTGCAATTCTTTTAATGACGACTGGTCCTCTTCCATTCCACTCGTTTGTGTAATATTTTAATTTGTTATTTCCATACTCAAGTCGGATTTGTTCATCGGCCAAAGTGGACAATTTATAGTTACACAACGCATTCTATTGTCACACATTATTATTAGTTGCACAGAGAGCAGAAGTTCCACGGAAGCAGTTATTAACCGTGTATGTTGTATAGATAGAGAATCAAACAGGTTGTCGTTACCGTCTCCCTTTTGCTGCTGCTGGAATTTGCTCAAAAAGTGTTTAAAGTTGATGTCTACAAGTTGATAACATGCTTGCTCATTGAAAAATTTAAAGCAGAGTGCATGATTGAACCTGGATGGATTGCTTAAGTGGCCTCGTTGATGTGGTTAATGAATTATGCAACTGATTATCATTGTTCATCTTTCTCTGCAGTTAAAGTGTCAGCAGACAATTCTCAACCAACAGTGACGGATTATTTAAGTGCAGGTTTGTTTTGCGTTTTTTAATTTACCTAAAAAAATTTGCATACAAAATACAATCAATAGCTTTGCGGTATTGCTCATGTTTACAAATTGCGTACTAAAGACAAAATAAATATCGAAATTCAGACAACGCAATAGTTACAATCAAGTTTTTTTATGACGCAGTTTTTTACAAATATTAACATATAATAAAATTTGACTAATTTAGCATTTTCTTAACAACACAAGTACAATAGGATTACGATACATGAGCATATCTCGTTTTTGAATAGTTGTGGTTTTGTAACGATCACAAGCAAATAAATGTTTAATTACCTGAGTCACAAAATTTTGAATAGACAGACATTTCTGCAATGCTAATCTTTATAACCAGTCTTCTACATACACAGCTACAATTAAAGTTACACAAACATCATCCATTTGGCACGGTCCTTTATGTTGATTCAATATTAATGTGATCTGCATCAATAAATTCAATAATGCATTCTGAAAACATTACATTAAGCACAGAAGCTTCTTGTCGATCCTCACACTGACACGATATGCGTCAGAATAAGTAATGGCCTTAAATCTGCCAACTTTCGGTAATTTGTCAGGTAGTTTCTTTATTCATATTTTTATTAAAGTTAAATAATAGCGATATCATGACACCTGGTACTTCACCAAGTTAAACAGCCCAACTATGTATTATCTTAACCCTCTTCTTGTATATATATCATTCTTATTTAAATAGGTGCAAAGAAAGAGTTGGCTAGTATGCAAATTATCTTTTCGCATCCATCCGGTCTCTGCGTTCTTTGCACTTGTCTGATGTAGCAAGTCTGCCCAAGCAAAGTCCTATTCCAACTTATTGCAAATAATTTAATAAGTAATCGTAATATGCAGCATGCGATATAAAAAAAAGTTTCGTTGCGTTCCACCAAATGCGTTGCGTCGTTCGTTGACTCCAATTCTTGATTGTATTCGTTTTAGTTTTCCTCATTCAAATAAACTGTACACGGTTTTTGAAACTTTGGCAGCAGCTGTGAAATGGTGGTTAGGCATTTAATGTCAAACATAAAACAAGAGGACAATGTCAAGACCAATGAAGAAGGAGGACAAGAAATGCGTATACTTTGCGGTACAGGGATCCAGCACAATAAACCAACTGTGCGAAACGGTTGGTTTTGTCACCTGCCAGTTTCGTCACATTCTTCGTGCAAAAACAATGCGATCGAGGGAAACTACATGTTGGGCGAGCTTTTGATTTGGGAAAATATTATTTGGACTTTCATGGTCTTAATTTAGTTTTAACCTAGTCATATTTTCTTATTTTCGCTCAGCAAACATGTTTACTTAAACCACAATTAAAGTTATAATAGATAATTAAATTTTTATTCTAGTACACATTGCGCTTTGGGCTGTGGACTTTAAATTTATGATCATAATCATGGCTGTATAATGGTCATGATTATTATATTATCCACCGTGAGGTGCTCATCTAATTGGAATGTAATTAAATCCTGTCCGCATTTGAGATGAGTCACAAATTCAAACTGAATCGTGAGTTGATCTAATGAACAAATGTTTAATTGAAAATATTTTATATTAATAATCTGCAGACAATTGACAGTAAATCAGTTTGAAAAGGTGGAACAACGTGTTTTGATGAAAAATGTGCACAGAGCTTCTGCCTGGTAGTGAATGTTAGTGTGTGGTTATTATTTGTTTTAAAAAGCAATTAATAAATACCAAAGAGAATTTTACGAGGACAAATAGCATGTTTGCACACACACACCTTCACATTTCAAGTGCAGCTATTCAAACAAATGTTCTTTCAAATTGTTCATGTTGTTGGGAAAATTAGTAAAAAAAAAAATACTTTTTGTCGAGATTGTCTCACGATACAAGAGTTAAAAAATTTCTCCGTTGGGAAACGCTGATTTTGAAAGTCGTGAATAATTCCCATTATGCACATGCAGCAACTTTTTCTCGTTGATGTGTCGTTATTTGCATGACGAGTATCAGCATCATCATTACGAAATCTTAATCACTCCGTAGCAACATTCCCAGCCAGATGGATGAACTGACATGCTGGTCATAGGAATACGTACGTTACTACGTTCGCAGGTTTATCATCCGCTATAAAAGTCAACCGGCACAATTAAGCAGAGTTTGCAGCAACTGATAGTACTGTTTACGTCGATTACTCACAAACAATAGCACGTCGGCGGCATCTTGCAAATATTTTATGCAGGTGACTTGATTGTCACATAAAAATGTAACAACCCTCGAGAATAGATAAATGCCAAAATCAGACGCTGCAGTGAGTCTGACTGAATTATTTATGAAAAATTGTGCGCAGACACATAATTGCTTGTCAAGTCACCGTAACCCGAGATGTGGCGTACATGCATGTGTAGGTAACTGAGAGGATGCTGAGAATTGCAAATCAGTCCTGAATTCACGTACGAATCGTCTGAAGAAGACATTTAACGGATCGATGAAACTATCTGTGAGCAGTTTTATCTCCTCTTTATTAGGCGAGGATCGAGTAGATTTTCTGTATTTAGCCACGAGTTTGGGTTAAAAGTGAAGTTTCCTTGTTAGAGGTAATGATTGAGCATTAATGAGCATCTTCTTGTCTGCTTCTTCTTGCGCTGGTGGTGGTGAGCTGCTCAAACAATTCCGAAAAGAATGCACAAACAATGCAATAAAGAACATCACTCGTTGTTCAATGTTTTCCCATTCATCCAAAGAACTACCGCAAATGATTAGGACGACCGATTTATCAATCTCATCTTCTCCTCGTCCTTTGTACATTCGTCAATCGTGAGCTCGTAGTTAAGATATCAAGCTGCCAAATAATTGAATGACTGATCATATCTGTCAAAACTCAAATGACTCGGCATCTATCTTTCGGACGACGACGCTACTTAAATGCTCAGTCCACGCCAAGCTGCCTTATTCCTTCATACACCACCTACAACCTTCAATGCCAATAATTTAATGATATTATTAATCACAGGTGAGTTTCCCCTGTTTTGTAAATCATTTGGCTTCTTTGTCGATTTGAAGATTTTCTTCGATAATTCAGATGGTAATTACAAAAATGTTTAAATGCAAGCTACATAAAGTGAAAACTGCCAATTTAATTGGGAGCTCTGTCATCTGTATATATTTTATAGTTTTGACACTTATATAGGCCAAATTAAAAATCATTACGCGGTTGTATGCATTACAGTACGTTCAAGGCAGACGATTAAAAATTTGAACTTTTCCTTAGCTTACAGCAAACCGTTAGCATATGGATACATTTTTGTGCACATTTTAAGGTACAAAGAACTGCATTAATTTTGCTCGCATTTCTGCATTTATGGGGTCATTCTAACATTTGACTCTGAAGTCTGAACAGAACAAGTTGCAAATTTTGGTGGAAACTCCTCAGAGTTGCATGCATGAGTTGACTTTGTTCCAGACTTGTCAAGTAAAGTTAAGAAGATAGCGTGATTCATGAGGCTCCTGGTTCGGAGTGCCCGGATGATGTATTTAGTATTTAGTAGATTTTTGGACGCTATTTTCCAAAGAGTCGAGAAGTTCATTCTGCGACGACGACGGCGAGTTGTCATTCATACTTTGTTGCCACTGAGTGCTTCTGGTTAAGAAAGAGTTGTCTTGAGCAGTAAAAGTTTAACTTTGTTGACCATGTCCTTCAGTCACAATTAAGCGTGTAGGGTCTTAAATATGTACATTCTTGTCTGCCACCATATTTGAGAGTATGTCACCTTTTCACATCTGCAGCTACATCATCATTGGTGCTGATTGCAATTAACAGGATTTAAAGTTTGGTATAGACACTCAAGTGCACGATATCTTCCATGTTCAAGGTTTACAACTGATGACTGAGCGGAGGATTCATATGGACTGAAATTCCATCATATGAATGAACATAAAGGGCGTTCTCGCAGCCTCCATATTTTCCATTTTAGTTTTACATGTGTGCAGGCAGGTAATGTGATTAGATAGTTCGGAACAATGGGTGGCTAATGATTGAACAGGTACAACAGGACTCTGCCTCAGTAAATTACAAATCAATTGCTTACGCCATCTCCAAAGCCTTTCACTAGTCAGCCATGATATCAATATCAATGGTTGATATAAACCTCTACTTGGGAACGTATTGCATTTTGGCTGGCTGGCACGCACTCGCCGTCATCAATTACTTATGTCAATTTGTCTCTTGATAATTGTTAACCTTGAATTGCAGTCATACTAGTGCAGAAATTAATTAGCGAGTTAAAACTATTTGGACATGAGAAGCTACACACGTTCTTCCGGATGGAATGGAAAATTGACTTACCATCAATTACCATGAGATTTTTTGGTATGTACTAGTATTTAAGTAGTGATTTAGTATGATTTAGTAAATATGCTTTAAGTTTGACTAGTTATGCATGAAAAATAAATTTCAATTTCAATAAAACGAAAGATCCCACTTAAATAATGGGAAAATATATTTACGATTTTTTAAGAATTTATAAATATTTTCTGTCAACCTCCAGTCTTGGATATTGACTATAAACTACATTTTTATATACAACCAAAGTGGTTCTGCTCATCCTTGCTTCACAGCCCAGAATGTTCGACAATTCCTAATAGAATTAAACAGGCATTGCATTGCATTGCATTACGTACATATGTATGCATGCATATTGACACAAGTGTTGATTACAGTAGTGAAGAATACCACCAGAAATAATTCAGATTGAGCACAGCCTTTTTAACACCATTTTAGTGAGCTTGACGTATTCGTACGTATCTAATTAACCATACACAATTTGACTTTGTATTAGCGTAGAAATTGTGCAATGGGGTGTGCATCTCATTGAGCAAGTATTTCTCCGTATTGAATCTTGCTGTTGCTTATGATACTGCTTTTAAACCAAATTGTGAGATAGCGAAGGTAATCCTATTTATTGAAATAGGACAGGCGGAAAATGTGCATAAATTCACAATCTCTAAATA